TACCGTACTTGCGTAGGTGGTCTACGAATACAGAGTAATTAATTAATTCAGTAGTTGCGTACATGTAGGCGCAGGGCAGGGTCGAGTGCAGCGATGATGCACTATGTCGGCCAGCGGCCCAGCAATGTGCAAGTGTGAGTGTCTAGCAACGTTAGCAAGACTTTGGCAACCACTAGAGGATTCCACGGCTCTTCTGGTGTGAATCTAGCGTGCTTCGCAGCGGAACAATCGACTTCTTCTGTGCTAGCACGCGGCACGGTGGTGATGGCTTCTTCCGGGGGGGCATACGGATAGACATTCAACGCCGGCCTAGCAAGTGGAAGAAGCAAGCAACGGCCGGTCGGCGTGAACCCCTTCAAGCCACGCAAGCCTCACGACGCCTCGTCACACCCGTCGTCTCTCAAGGTCAAGGTCGTTGCGGGTGCGTGGTGTAACTGATGAACGAGTCTGTTCATCGAGCCGTAGCGAAGTCTTGACAACTCACCACCATCACTAGCCCAACGGAGAGTCTCAGGGAAACTTGTCTCTCAAGTGTCTCTGACCTTCACGTGCTTAGGCCGCGCTAAGCATTTTCGCGAAGTTTGACAAGGAGGCGCTAGATGACGCCGTCGCCAGCCATCCTCTCAAGCGAAGTCTGAAGTCTGCACTCTGTCTCAACGTTTTTTTCCCGTTGTCCCCGTTCCCGTTCCTTGCAACAAGCGTGATGAGCCGCTGGGGGTACGTGTTCCTCGTTCCTCCGAGTGCCCTTCTGCCAAGATGTCGTCAGGTCTCAGAGAGGCTCTTCTGTCACGCACGCACGACGCAACGCACATGGCGATAATGCAGAGGCGGCCAATGCAGAGGAATGCAAACGATGCCATGGGCAGTCGCAGATTCAGACACAGGCACATACCAGTGGTACACGCAAAAACAACCACATGCATCAATCTGCCATCTGCTCGGCTCGAAGCCCATGCGGTTGCGAAGAAACACGCGCAGAACATCGGCAACTCTTGCTGCCATGAGCCGCGCGAGCAACGGGCAAGTCGCAAAACGTCAGAGCGACTCGGAGCTGTCACGGGCGGAAAGAACTTGGGACGACATGGGCGGGACAAGACAAGTTGACGGACGGGGCCTGTCAACTTGGCCTTCGGCAACACAACTACGGACGAGTCACCGCTTCATCCGATCGCATTCTGATGCACAACTGTGCCTGCGAAACTCTCGGAAGTCGACGTCTTCTTCATGCCTTGGCCCGCAGAAGAAGGGAGCCCCCCAACCCCTTGGAACCCAGACTTTCCTGGCATCCTGTTGCCGTTCCGTGTGCATCCCATTCCCATCCCAAACCCTTTTCCTCCCATCTTCACACTGCAACCACGATGTATCCCGTACTCCCGACCGACCCCCCCGTCTCCAGGTCGATCACGGACCCCTTCTTTCTACCAGGGCAGTGAGAGCCAGAGAGAGGCACAAGCACCTTGCAGCGGACAGGGGACGGCCGAGACATCGTGGCCGGGGCCCAGGGGATCATTTGTTTTGGGAGAGCAAGCACCAGCCCAGAGCGAGAATCACTCTCGCACACACACAAGAATCCGAGAATCAGAGGCAGAAAAGAGAGAAAGAAGCCGGCGCCAGAACTCAGACTTGGTAACTACTCCCATGTCCATATGCCATGCCCATGCCATGCCATGCTGCCCCTGTCTAGACCTTGTCCTTGCAAGGTTCAAGCCACCCTGCGCAAGCGAGGGGGGCTTTTCCTGGCGCCCGAGCTAAACTGAAGATCATATTGTAATTAGCCTTTGTTTCCGGCTGTCTGTTTCTCTGGCCCCCCGTTCCCCTTACCACCCCCTTCACACACATCTTGCTCACCCCTCATGCCATCTCAATATGGAGTCCTCTGCCCCCCTAAGAAACAGTCTCTCGGCGCCCCGTGTTGTGGTGGTCCCCAAATTCCCCTATCGATGCCGTGCCGTCTCTCTGACGCCGCCGCTGTCCGATCCTCTGCGGAATGTCCACAACGGATGGAGAGGGAGGGGGTCACAAGCAACGTCGACATGTCAGAGCAGCATCGAGGGAGCAGCCAATCGAGGAGTTTCTCGAGTCACTGACAGCTTCTTGACGTGCGCGGCCCTTTCGCACGGCCGCCGCTGCAAGCGATGTCGACGGCGCCGTGTTAGCGGGAGCGCCATTGCCTCGCGAGCTTGCGGCGACTACGGGAGAACGAACTTCATCTGGGATAGAAGTACGTGATGGGAGCAAGCCACCGGCCACCGAGTCGGGCTGCGGTCGCAAACTCTATCTGGGGTGCGCTTATTTCTGTTGAATTACGACTCGACTCAACTGGACTGAACTCGGGTTCGCAACTCTTCCTTCGGACTGATGCCCGACCCGAATGCCTGGCGAGCCATCACTCATTCAACTAGAGGCGACTGAAGGATCTTCATCATTGGCAACATCTCTCGGCTTTGCCAAGCGGCAACTGCCTGAACGCTGCAACGCTCACGACACGGTCCAGAGTCGTCCCGGGTGTTGCCGTTGCGAAAGTGACGCCTCTGCAACGCCTCGATACCGGTAGCTCTTCATCAGCCATCCAGCATGAGATGCCAAGAACAGCCGTTTCCACCTCTTGGGGTTTTTGCCGTTAAGCTTGTCTAAAAGAGCGACATGATGAGCGACAACCAAAACAGCAAAGCACGCACACACGTGTACGGATACACACGCACACACTCACATCAACCACCATGTCGCTTTTTTGCCTGCGCGTCTACCAACCCTGCAGCAAATCCGGAACATTATTGCAATTAATGTCCCATGATCGGGGGATGGGGTTTCTTTGCCGTGCCTCCTGGCACTGACACGGGCATCCCCCCCGGATAAGCGGCGGACAACAACACTAGAAACAACTCATTGTCATTATTATGAGTGATGTGTATGTATGTGTGCCAGGAGAGGCGGTTTAGACAAGATTGGGATCATCTCGCATCGGCGGCAAAGTCGAAGGAAGGGGGCAAGTTTGGATCTGACAATCTGCATCATGGACATTCTCCCACAGCAGAGTACAGATCAGGACGATTCTGGAACAAAGACACCAGTCATCCGAACATGGGACCCAGCACGGCACGTCGAAGCACCGTTCCCCCCCTCTCTCTCTCCTCTCGCGGTCGCAGCCTTGGGATGACGTTCTGGCATCTGCGTGCGCACGCGCACACGCGAGGCAGAAGCGACGAACGGCATAAGATCAGCTCGACAATCCGGTCGCAGCACAGGGCTGGCAGGGTATCGATGAAGCCCTTGGGGCCTCACACGCCGCACGCCCCCCGACGTCAGTTCAGGCACACTCAGAGAGAGAGAGAGAGAGAGAGAGAGAGAGTTGCTCTCGTCTCAAGTGCGAGCATCAGCGCGTGCGGAGAAAAAGTCTGTGGGTGTCCCCCGTCGACGAACACCCACCACACACACAAGGTCAAGTTCAACGATGTCTCTGCTTGTAAGTCGACCCCTCGGTGCCCCTGTCCCAAACACACAAGCCTTCGTGACAGGACAGGGTACAAGCATCCTTGTCTGCCCCGTTCTCGGAACGGGAGCAAGATCCAGATTAGGAAATGTTGGTCCGAGTGGTGCCATGCATAACAGCACTAGATTCGGATTAGCTCTGGGCGTGTTGGACCATGGCCGTGGGAGGGGGTAGCCGGGGAGGTGTGAGCATGGGTGTGCCATGAAGATATGAGAGAGAGAGAGAGGCAGGAGGGCGTGTGGCCAAGACATGTAGGGGACTCTCTCAGTACATTCCCGTGTGGGAGAAGAAGAGGAAGAAGAAGAAGCAGGAGGAGGAGGCCCTGACGAGCAGCAGGGATGGACGGCTGGGGTGTCTTTTGGACCAACAGACCCTGCCGTTGCATAAACCAGTGACCGTTTGACCTCGAGCGATCCCATTGACGTTGATCCTGATCCTAGACGGGGGCCAGTCTCCCTCGATCTCACCCGCAATCCCGGCTGCTGCCAGCCAGCAACACGGATACCCATTACCACATCACCAAACCAGCACTTTTCTGCCCAGGACAGACGCAGAAGAAGAGGCAGACTCGACATCTCTCTCTGGTATCGTGTCGTGCCTGACCTGACCCGAACAGCAACAAGCATCTCTCCGATGCATCCCAAGTAAGAGAAACGGGCCCTGTACCCTTACCCCGTCATCCCATTATCCAGGAGGCGCTATAGCCAGGAGGTCAGGTTCAGGTCACTCTCCTTCTCTCACTCCCATCTGTCTCTTCTTCTTCTTCTTCTGCATCCCTCGTCGAGTCCCCAGTCTTGTCTAACCAGTACCGATGACCCCGTCTTCCCTCCCCTTGTCGTCGACCCTGGCAGTACGACGAGTACGTACTCCATATCGATGAACCCAGGACGAGGACCTTGGACTGACCCTTGCCTAGCTTCTCTCCTCCTCCTCCCACCGACTACCTTTACCTTCAACGACACACACCCCCCATCCCATCGCCGTCGTGTCTCTTTCGTCCGGTCGGTCCCCAGGCCTGGCGTAACGGTCCCAAGACTTATCCCACTCTCTCTGCCTCGGACCCACACACAATTTGTGACAGGCGATTGTGGCATCCCATCGTCCAGGGATCATCGTGTGGATTTACGCTTGATCACCCATTCCACTCTGCTTCGGGAGATCTGATATACTTGCCTCCCCCATCTGCCACCTCTACTCCATCCACCCACCAACAAGCTTCTTCGGACCAGGACGCATTTCATACTTAAACTACCCACCTCCCCCCTTCACCACACCTCATCTTCCTGCCCTGGAATCTTGGAACCTCCCGAATCAAAATCAACCTCTAGTATCCAGCTGGCACTTGGGCTAATCACTACACTCTACATCTAATACTTGTTGTGTTTCTTAATATTCAACGCCGACAACCAACCAACTCGCCCTCTCCCACCACCGACGACAAAAGATCGATCAAGCAAGGAATATCATACCAGCCATACATCAAACCCGTCTTCACCACACCTTAATCACAATGGCGGCCGCTTTAATATCGAACCCGTACGCTGCTCAGCAAAGCGCACACTACGGATACGTCCAACCGCCTCAACCGCCTCCTTCGCCCCCGATGGACGAGACATCAAAGTGCTCTCTCCCCTCCATCTCAAATCTCCTCGGCCTCGCAGACCAGGGCTCTCCCACATCAGAGACGCACCCTCAGATCCCTCAACAACAACAACAACAACAGCAACAACAAGGTACGGAACGACACGGACGTCAACAATCCGCCAGCAGCGGCGCCGCAACACCAAGACTGACCCTCGACACAGCATCCTCCCAAAAGTCCGAGACGAGACCAAACTCCTCTCACTATGGCGGCTCGGCGATGCGGGGTCTCCCCCCGACGCCCCCCATGAGCTCAGACGCCTCCTTCGACGGCTACAACTCGCCCTCGACGAGATCCGTCTCCCAGCTCTCCGTCGTCTCCCAGCCTCACAGCAACTACTACTACGAGTCGACGCCTCCCCTGGAAGCCGACGTCCACCGCCCCTCCATCGTCTCGAGGATGCCCGTCCAGGCCGCCGCCTACGCCCAGCCCCAACCGTTCCCTCCCGCCGCCTACATGCCGGCTCACCAGAACCCCATGGCCGCCGCGTCCTACTACCCTCCCATGCAGCCCACGCCGCCGCCCCAGGCCCAGATCTCCGGCCTCTACTACCAGCGGCCCCTCCCGCAGGCCTTCCCGCCCATGGCCGTCCCCGTCGGCATGGGCCCGGCCCCCGGCGGCGGCGCCAACCCGTGGCAGCACCACCACTACATCTCCCCCTCCTCCGCGGCCTCCTTCCCCCAGAGCCAGGACCGCTACATCTGCCAGACCTGCAACAAGGCCTTCTCCCGCCCGTCCTCCCTCCGCATCCACTCCCACTCCCACACGGGCGAGAAGCCCTTCAAGTGCCCGCACGCCGGCTGCGGCAAGGCCTTCAGCGTCCGCAGCAACATGAAGCGTCACGAGCGCGGCTGCCACAACTTCGAGAGCGGCAGCGGCGGCTCCGGATCGACAATGTAATATCTGATATGATGAATATCCCGCCTTTGTACGAACTTTATTTGTTCTTATTTTTTCCATTATACTCTCTCTCTTTTATTACGACCAACAACGAATCATCTGGGGGATGGCTAGAAACAAACCGGGGAGGGGGGATGTGTGACAACACACACACGCGCGCAAAGAGTCGGAAAAGGGGAAGGGAAGGGGGGGATTCGGATCCGGTTTTTCAACGGGAAAGATACCACGCTGGTAGACTTAAACAACCTCTACCGGCGAAACTGCAAACTTCACACGCCTTGGGTCATCATCAACATCAACACATCCACAATCAAAAATTTCTACATATAATCAGCAACGACGAAAGACCAAAAAGGCGTTCTACACAAGACGATTAGGGGGCAGTCTTCAAGGATCGAAGGCGCGCGGTGGGGAGAGAGGGAATGTGGGTGGTGAACCAACACAATTATTAGGAGGAAAGTCAAAAAGGGATTTGATTAACCTTCACCAACATGTGTTAATTTGGAGGGCGGAATACTTTTATTTTTCTATTTTACCGGAGCAAGAAGGCGTGAAATCACACGGGCTGGGGGGGGTCAAAACTGGTTCGCGGGAACGCAAAAGAGTGTTTCCCGCCGGCCAGCACAATGAACAAAACTTTGGGCATTTACAGGGCGTTTTTCGAGTTTGTCATTTTTCCGTTCGAGTGTTGTTGTTGTTGTTGTTCGTTGTGTGTGGGCAGAGTCGAGGCTTTTTCCGGGTTCATCCCACCTTGACAATGTTTTGGATTTTTCTACTATTACCTACGATCTGTTGTTTTCTGTTTTTCACTTTCAAAAACGGTACAAAACTTTATGTACGATTATGTGGTAATGTATATAGAAAAGAGAAGAAGAAGAACGAAGAAGAGAAGAAGCCTTCACAAAATCGACGAAGAAAGTTTGGTCACAAACTAAACAAGTTCATTACCGTGCTTAATTCGCCTTCGTGTTGACATCATCGTGACCGCGAAAGCAGAGAGGAAAGAGAGGAAACTTGGAGGGGATGGATGGATGGATGGGGGGAGTGCCCAGTTTCTTGGTATGGGGACTCTTTGTGTAACATCGCCGCATCTTCGTCTCAAGAGTTGGGTGCCCGTGTGCGCGTGCGCGTGCGCCGCTGAGGATTGTGGAGTTGTTTGTGTGGGCTTTTTGCTGAGGCGAACTTGGTTGCTTGAGGAGTTGGGACCGAAGAAGACAACTTGAACCAAGAGGCGACATATGACCTACCTACCGGCTTGATCCGAGCACGCTCTCTCGTGCTTGTCCACACACACACATAGCCTATAGAAACACGAGTGAACGCAAGTTGAGACGCTCTTAGGGTGAGTAAGAGTTAAGCATGAGACCGGACGGGAGCCGCGCCGATCGCGACCGCATCGTCGTGAGATGACAGCTCGTTCTGACACAGGCACGCCGAACTCTGCTTGCTGCTCCTCCTTCCCTTCCTCTCGGTCTTAACTCGTCCTTTTTTGGTTGATCTCCGCGGTCATCGTTTCTATTGGATCGACCAAACTTCTTCCGTTACGCGCAGATGTCTGTGTGTGTGACGGAAAGAAGTGCGAAGTTGAGGCGAAGACCAGGGGGGGAGGTCAGTGATGAGCGGCCGGGGGTAAGGAGGGAGAGAGGAGAAAAAAAAAGAGCAGATGATCGACGCTGCAGAAAGTGTCACAGCCCTGGGATGAGACAGTCAAAAATTTACGCTTAAAAATGGTGCGTCCTGACTTGTTGCTACACACGGGTAGCCTACGATACGGTAAGGACTGCCGTAGACGTCTATGTGTTTAGTCTGATACGATCGTGTCTGTACAGACGTGTGTGTGTGTGTGTGTGTGTGTGTATGCGTAGAGAGAGAGTTGTCGGTAGTTGTCTGCTTTTGCCTTTTTTGTTTCGGCCGGTCTTTGCGCCGTTGATCCCATCTCCAAGGTTGATCGTTCTACCCTCATCGTAGAATGGGTGTCGATGAACTTTCAAACTCTCAAGCTCAGACTTTTATTTTCAGCTCCCTTCTTGCTGCTGAATAAGTCATGCGAAAAGGAACGAAAGGTCGCGCCCCCTCGTCAATTTTTTACCTCTCGCGTCTTCGCCTCATCGCTACTCTGCGACTCTCCTTTGGCAAAAGAGGGTGGTGGGAAAGGGCATCTTTGTCTCTTTTCTTCAGCCGATGAAACGAACTGGAGACCCCAGCCCGGACCCGGGCCCGGCCCTTGCCTGACATCCCATACCTTATCCCGTCCAAAATATTCCCTTTTTTTCAGCCGTTGCTGCATCTTTCTGCTTTGCATTGAACGCACTGTCGCAGCCGCCTTCGCAGCATGTGCTGCCGACTGGCTCATGCTCTTGCTCTGTCAGCCATGTATAATAAGGCTTCGAGTGTCTCGTGCACGTCACGGAGTGGTGCTTTCCCCCCTCGACGTCGTTTCCAGCCATGTGTGTCTGTGTGTTATTTTCGTCCGCTGAAAGTTGTGATGCCATTGCTCAACGACTTCACCCACACACACCAGACGGAAGACCGGCAGGGTAGACAGAGTAGGTATGGTAGGTGCACGCTTCTCTTGTCTTGGCCGCGACCAACGATCCGTTACACAACTGACCTCGCTCGCGCCAAGTGGTGTTATGTTACCATGGCCCGCGGAGGAGTTGACTCTGCCTCTTTCGGTTCTGAACACAGCCTCGTTCGGCCAAGAATCATGACGACGGTAATTGCACCGCTTGGGGGGTTGGCCCGCCCGTAGCAGTGCTACTATGGTAAACGCCGATACCACGGCGGGACGACTGACACGTTCAAAGTCCGAGATTCTGCGGGCAGAGTAGCAGCCCAACACAAAGAGTTAAGACGGCACGGCTGACCGTCAAACTTACTGGGCGCGGCTCGGCTTTCTCGCCTTGACTGGTTCAGCTCGGCTCTTTCTCTCTCTCAAAAGGATAAGGACCACCTAGCACCCCTCCCCTCCAATGCAAACGATGACCACTGTCCGAACCGTCAACCGAAGACGAGCAAAGTCTATCATTTGACTGCTGACAGGCGCAAGAACTTTACTTTGAGTAGCCAAGTGTGGGGTGGGAATGAAGGGATGCCGTACGCCGATCTACGTGCGATTCGGGGGGACGTAGAGCAGGGGGGAGAAACAAAAACTTCAACTCTAAACTGGGAGGAAACGGGGGGTGGTGGGAATCGGGATGGGCTGTATTGATTGGATTTCCCATGGGAGAAATAAAAGGTCCAACGCGACCGTCACATCGGACGGGGGACAAGGAAGAGGCAGTCCTGGTTTCTGCTTCAAGCTTGTTCTTCGGCCGTTGAAAGCGGCTGACTTGGGGATAGTCTCCGGTCGCGGCATGGCGGCGATGCCAAGATGGTCAGCAGCGTAGCACTGGATTTTGCCTTGAAGGCTCAAGAATAAGCGTGATGGTATCCGTACAGCACTGGAGAAACCTGTTGCGCGCGCGTATTCCGCAACAATGTGGAAATCCGCCCGTTAAGCTTCTCGTGTTGCCCTGACTCGGTGCTGCAACCTCAAAGCCTCTCTTTTCGGCCTTTAACCTATACATTATTGAAAGGCCGGGGGGCCACAAGAATCTGACTTATTGATACCCGTCAGTTGATATCGATCTGTCGTTCTGCGGCCCCCTTTCTTTCAATTCGTTTCTTCAGATCCTCTTTTTGTCAAGAGTCTGTCTGACGATCCGCCCGGAGCCAGGGTTCGGGAACCTTATGTGTTATGATTCGCCTCAGGGTTTGTTGTGCTTGACTCTCTCTGGCCAACAATTAATTAATCCTGAGCTCTCACAATAAGAAGGTGAGAAACTTTGTTTCTGTTCATGAACAATGTCCTGTTCATTCTGGGCGCTGATTGCTGCATGGAATGGATCAGTTGGACCCTTAATTCATCAATCTGCAATGAATTCGTAATACCAAGCTTTTGTTTTGCTGCTCGCAATTGACGTGGCTGGGTACGGTACCTCTTGAGAAGCGCCCAAATGGGCCAAATGAACCCACATCCGTGGTACTTGGGCCGAGGGCCGAGAGAGCCGACTGGCAATGTACAGCCAATCTCGGAGACGGGGTGGATCTGAGGCGACCCCGAGCCCCCGAGATGAGGCATTCAAGCGCCGGGTCTCCTCTATCTCTGTCCGTATATGTACAAAGTATTGCAAAGGGGCGCCTTTCTTCGCTGACTCTGTCGATGTTGTTGTTATTTCTCGTGTCTCAATGCGTTTTTGCTGTTCCATGTCCCTGAGCTTGTCCCCATTGAGTCGTCGGGCACTCCCCGGCAACTGGAAGATTTGCGACCCGCATGGCTGATCGCCATTTCGCAGGGCGAGAAAGGTCGATGCCTGCGGCGCCAGGCACAAGACGCAGGAACGGCGTGGAAGAACAGGATCTCGCGTCAAAGAGGGAGTGTGATGCTGGCGATGTCATAGCGGACGACTCCGGCAAGTGGACTTTGATGACTTCCAACGATATCGACCGCGAAGGGTGATGCTTGCTTCTCTCGCGGCCTTCAATCTTGGAAGATGAGGGCCCTCGAGAAGCCTAATCGGCTCTGCCAAATCCCAATGCAAGTTGATGAGTTAGCTTTAGACCTTCCATGTCGCGCTAGACGCCGACCTAAATCCTTCTAGCCTGGGCGCGATCCTTAGCCAAAAGGGAAGAACCCTGTCAACCGGCGTGCCGGGAGGATGGCAGCGGTGGCCTGTCCTACCGTTTCTCGGGAATGCCTAGCTTAACACAGACGCAAGCACCAGCCCGTGTGTTCTTCCTTCGACGATTGCCATTAGCAGCTCGACGCGGCTGGCTAGTTTTGGTCCTTTGAGGTAATTCGACCCTTAAAAAGTTAGAACGACGAGCCAAGAGATGAGATGGCCTGATATCGCTCGTTCGAATCATGTCGGGCATGAATATTGCAAATCTCGCCTGTGAGCAGAGCCTTCTGGGGCTTGGTGAGGCTGCTGTCATTGAATTTGAGCGAGATATCATATCGACGACGCGGATATAGGTCTCAGGCCTGCTACTACGGAGGCGTTTGCAGACTATTGTTCCGATGCAGCGGTGGAATGCTTCCATTGCAACTGTATCAATCGGTGCTGCCGCTGCTGAGTCTCGCTGCAACATTACCCGAAAGGGAGCGAGAGTACTGAGCACTGGTACGAGTACTTCAGAATGAGACGGGAGATCCCATCCTCACGGCGCCGGCTCCGTCTCTTCTGGACTGGAAGAAAGTTCAGACCAGCAGCATCCTTGCCAAACTCTAAGCAGGGGGCCTGTTGGTCAAATGGAGCTTGTTCCTGCAGAGTCGACTCAGGACCACGCTCACCGTCTTCGGCACTCGCAGCTCAAGACTGGCATTCCCTGCCATGCAGAACCTCAGACGATTCAGTGGAAGGGGGGGAGTGAGGGGAACGGAAGTAACTGCTCGGCGGTGGGAGGATCTGCTGGCGCTTCCCAGGCTTTCCTTGTGTCGCAGCATCTGCTCTCCGGACTTTGTAACGTTGGCGATGCTACGCCGCCGCGGCAGTTTTCGCTGGAAAGAGTGTTCAGATCGTCGCTCTTCCAGTGTTGCGGCGGTGGGAAAGACATGCGTCCCGAGGGAGTGTCACGGCTCCATCTTGGCCGTCACGACGGACTCTCCGTCGAACTCGCACTAAGACCAACATATTCTTAGCGCCGTCCCATTCGCAATCGAGGAACCAGCAGCCCCGTTGGACCGGGCATCTCTCGACGGGGAATCCCTTTCTCAATACTGAATTCTGCCGCTTTCTGCAAAACGACGCTTCCTCGTCTTAATCAACGGGTTATTGGTCGTTGACATTGACCAAGTCCTTCGAATGCGCACACCTCCCGCTCCCTTCACTCCCTCGGCGTGCGGAGAGACGCCGCGGCGTTGGAGTAAGGAAAAACCACCACGCGCAATGTTTCAAGATTTTCATCTGATCAACTCTCCTCCGCACCGAGGTGTGTCCAGCCTCTACCGCACCGCGGAAAGGTGATGCTGGGCTCGTAAGGCTTGCACAAACAGACGAGATGGTAGCGCGACAGGCCGGTTCAGACGGAGCGACCAGTCTCCGTCCGCAGATTTCCCAATGTCCAAGCCTGCCACCAGCCACGCGACCGAAACAGTCTGATGAAAAGAGACGAAGAGACAGAAACCTCAATGCCTCGCTTATGCATCATGAGAGACGTCAACGTTTGAGAGCCTCGCCAAGCCCAGTTAGGCCCAATGCCGTCGCGAAACGGTCGTTCTCTTTTACACCGCTCGGACGTCAGCGTTGCGATGTCACCTAAACGCCAACTGCAACGCCATGCGCTGGAGAAAATTGGGAGGACAAGGCGGAAGATGGGCAAGGGGACACGCATCCCATCTCCCATCCCTGCACCGGAATCTCGACATCCCATCTGCAACCCCCTTCCCCCGGACGATCCAAGATCAACTGATCACCGTGATCAACCCCTCGACAGCTGCACGGCGCCGTGGCTTCAAGACAACCACCACCGTCCGTCAGGCTCTGGAAGTCTTCCTTGCCTTGCTTGGCTCCCAGAGCGCTTGTTTGCAGCTAGCCAACTGCCGACTGCTGCTCTCATTTCGCGCCGTCCTTAATTCCATCGCAGGCCACCAGCGCTGCTGAGCCACGCGACAGTGCATTCCGAAAGCGAGGCGAGAGACACTACTCTTCGTGGGGGAAAGGAAGTATCAAGTCTAATTCTTCTTCTCCGAGATTTTCAGCATTGCCGCGGCCGGCATGGTTTTCCGTGTTTTGCCTGCGTTGTGTTTCCCTTCTCCGCCTGTGCTCCGCGCCCCGGCACACAGGGCCTTGGAGAAGAAGGCCAGCATTAAGCACGGCTGTTGCGGCTACGCCCTTGACAAGGTCAACAAGCTCAGAAAGCATGGCAAAGAGCCTCTCGATGGCAGATGAGGGTGAGTGAGACAGTCAAGACTCAAGTTTGGTAGAGGCGGAGAGACCCTCGTCCAGGTCTGTGACAACCCTCCCGTTTCAGGTGGTTGAGACTGGGTTGCGGCACGTCGCCTCCTCTGAAGTCTTGACAAGCGGGATCGCGGACGCCGGAGCGAACTTTGCGTTGCCAATCACTGGGAGCTCCCGGGCGGTGCTTTTTGACTAACAGCTTTGTCAACCGACCGAGCTCATCTTAAGGTTTTTCGTCTTTTTTCTGTGTAGTGGCGCTTCGTTCCTTCTTCTCGTGTGCCGAAAAAGAGCGAGTCTGATTGACTCGAGGACAGCGAAAACCGTTGCCGCCGCAAGAGAGATCGACAAAACCTAGGGCGCGGCCAAGTCTAACTCATGGGATCGCCGGACGCTAGCGCAGTGCCGGGTGGGCGTATCTGTGGGGGGAAGAAATGGCAAATGCCAAAAAGGACGAGACGTCCATTCGATAAGATGACGGAGGCTCACGCCCCTGCGCCGACGAACGACAAGGACGACGAGACGACATGAACGGTTGGCGGAAGATGCCGCCCTGGTCTCTGTTCGGCGCTGACTTCCCTTTCCTCGAGAGTGTGGCCGGTATTGGATGCAAGGCGTCTCATGATTTGGGTGTGACGCACGCATGCACTGTCCGTCTCATTGCGCATGGCGCCCCCTCCCCTTTCGTCCCAACTTGTGAAGTTGTGTCCCTTGGCTTGTTAATCCAGTCTGTTATTTGCCCACAAAGCTGGGGAATCCTATTACGTTTCCATGCCGACTCCGAGCGAGCATGGGTGCTGCCAGACCGTCTTTTTGGAGGCGGGCCCTGGTCGTGAATATCCTCAAGGAGTCCACGAAGACTCCGCTTCGAATGGCTTGTCTGCAGACGTAGGGGTCACGGGAGAGAGGCTTTCCGTGAAGGAAAACAGGGGGATTTGGGAGGCAAGAAGACCCTGAATACCGGGGATTTGTGGTTTGGTAAGCGTTTCGAGAATCTCCTGGACGAAAGATCGTCGATAGAGTGTGAAAATCCCCCGAACCCTAAACCGGAAGCAACAGGCCTTTATTCGCGATGATCCGACAAGTGATGCATTGCCGGCAAATCATCGAGGACGGCGGTGAGAAACAACCCATCTAGAGGACTAGCAGGAAGGCGAAGAACATGCCGCAACACATCTCGTGAGTAGGCAAAGGGAGTCGGTGACAAGGCTTACGTTCAAGAACGCCTCTTGTCATCCAGCGCTGTTTGCGATCCCCGCCGTTCGCTCTGTCAACGGCTGCCACCGAGGCGTCAAGTTTCGTCTGTATTCTGCCTTCACGTCAAATGTGACACATTCTATGCGATTGCCACTGTCAAGCGGATTTGAACGCGTGGCATCTCATCCTCGCCGGAAATTTTCTAGGCATCGCTTGGGTCGTTTTGGTCTCAAGTTTTTCAGCCTGCCCCGATCTGACAGCCGAGCCTGATGCACTCTGCCACTCATCCGACTGGAATGTGGGATAGCCAAGCATGCGAGGCAGCATCTCGGCTTCACGGGGTTGTGGTCTAGGTGCGAGATGCTCTTGACCCTCAGGGTAGTCCTGTGGCGCCTCACCCTGAACCATGAAGCATCTGGAACGGTGAACGCGCCAGACACCTGTCACTCGTGTGGGCTCCCGATGCGGGGGACAGAGGTCGGAGGCTGGCTCGTCCGGATGCAAGAATAGCATCCTGTCTGACGAAAGAATGATTGAGACAGCACAGGGGAACAGCCCCTGTTGGCATGAAAGATCTGTTGAGGCTCAAAGCTTGGCTTTCAAGTGTTTTCCTCGACGTCAACGACTGTCATCACTTGACGGGCGGGCCGACCTGTTTCGACTCATCGCCTAGCAGTGGCGGCGTTTCAACTCGGAAGGCTGCTTGTATGTATATCGCAGCGACATATAGACTATAGTGACAGATGGCGTTTCCTGACAAGGCTGCCGCGAAGCCCTTGACTGTCTGTGCCATGAGAAGTACCCCTCAAGTCATCTTTTGTATAGCGCCTTCTTCTCGGGGCGTCTCAATAGCTGGACTGGTCGTTCCAGTACAGCGTCTCATGATAAACCCTGTATATGGGTCAGTGTACGTGTAACCAAGATACACGCCTCCTCGAGTTGATGTGTGGACGAAGCCAGCATATCGCAGGAGGAAGCAAGCTTAAACGGGATCGTAGCATGGTAGAGGAAGGAGGCTTACTCGGGTCCGTTGGCGTACAGTGGCCAACCAAGCTTCAGCGTGATGTACTGTATGAGATGGCTGGCAACCTTGATCTGCCCAACATCTGTGGGGTGCCACTGTGGTGCGATATCATTGTGCTGCAGGATGCCAGTGGTGTTGAAGAAGTGGACGAATGGCTTTGCAGGCTTGCCTGTCTTCTTCGTCGTGTTGGTGACAGCATCCCACGTTGTCGGACTGCTCAGGTACTCTTCCGTGTTGAAGTACTCATAAACACTATAGACTTCATCCCGAAGGTCCGTGTTCTGACCATACGTATTGCCGTCTTGAAAGAAGCCTTGCCACATTTGCTACAGATGATTTAGCGCAGTCCATCACTTGGAAGTATCCGAAATTTCATACCATGATGATAACTTGAGCCTCGGGCCACTTTCCGTGAACGCCCTGAACGAGTCTTTTGTAACTCTCTACGTAAGTGGACTTGCTGACGTTGTTCGCAGCATTGGCATCGTTGGTACCGAGGTTAATGACTACGAGGTCCGCCGCCGGGTTTTTGGAAAAGTCCCAAGGTTCGGGATCATCTGTGCAGGATTTTGTTAGTCGCGTTGTTCTCGCCAATATACTCCGATGAGTATCAGGAGTCAAGCTTTGATTCGAATAGGCGAAGTCGTGTCGATGCTCCGATGAATAGGCATATGACATACCTCCCCAAACTTCATTTGCTCGTCCGCCAGTGTCGGACGTATAGAACCACTGGTGAGACTGGCCCCTAGGGTTTCCCCAGCACTCCTGGTCGGAGACACAGATGCCCGGATAGGCCGTGATGGAGTATTCCGTATCTCCTAGTCCTGCTCCGACGCCATACGCGAATCCAGCAAGAGCCTCGTACGTGTTGTACATGCCTGCCGATAAGCTGTCGCCAATGAACTCTACTCGGCGAGGGTAGTCAGGGATTTTGACGAGCTTTTCCCCGATGGCCACATGTACTTTATCGATCTGAACTCCGTAGGCCCAGTTCGTAACCCTCATCTCGAAGGTTACGGGGCTAATAGGTCCAGTGAGTTCGATTCCTGGAGTTGCCGGACTAACGAAGAGGTGAGTTGCGCCCGCCGTGACATTCGTATGCATCCAATCCAGCCCAGCAATCCTGTAGGCGACAAGAGTACTGCTGATCGTTTCGTTCCCAAAGGTGACTGCAACCGTTTGACCTGTGAAGCCAAATTTGATTCCTGGGCCCCTGTGGCACGTTAGGTACTGCACGAGGTTACCATACGGGAGTACAAACTTACGCCCACCAAGAGATCATTTTGGAGTCCCATCGACCCTTGAATGAGATCTCTTCGGCATCAGCATTGTAAGTCCTGTAGTCGCTCTCCGCCAACTCTATCTGGGTGTCGGGGAAGCTGGTAACCCTTGGGCGTCCGTTTTCAAGAATTGTAGCCGCCACGGCACAGATGTTGGTGAGCACAACTGCCAGCGAAGGTACGATCATCGTGACAGCTCGTGAATCTTAACCAGATGCCGAGGATGCTGGACGAGATCAAGCCATCTGGCGGACGGAACCAAACATTTTGAATGCAGACAATGCCTCTTATACAGTTGAGCTATCCAAGACTTGAGCCTGGCAGCTGTTGACCCCTCACGACGAGTTAGACTAAGAGCATGTCCGGCGTAAGAAGGACCGAGATGAGCGGGAAATTCGATACCCTTGCCAACCTCTTCGTCATATGCAAACGGCATGCCGGCTATTCGGGTCATGAACCGCTTCCGACTCCGGTTTGAAGGGTTAAGGGTTCAGAGGCCGGAACTGAGATTCGCTGCTGACGTATGGGTGAAAATTGATCCATACATATACAACTTTCGAACCCAATTGATTCAAAGTGTTGGAAGTTGCTTCCGTTCGAAGCGTTTGAAACGAAATAAACCCGAACTCACAGGCAAACTGATCTTCGGCCTTCATGCCTAGGACCAACCGGGTTCGCGATTCGGTTCATCGCTAGAGAAACCCGGCGGAGGAAGACCCTCCGCGCCCGATTGGTGAGCGCAGGTGGTCTGCGAGGTGGGATGTAATGTGGGCCATCGGCGCAGTCGATTTGGCTACTGGGCAGGATTCCGGAGCAAAGCACGCCCCAAGCCGGGCCGGCCGGGCGGAAATTTGGGGATGGTAGAGCCGTTAGGTCGCACTGAAGCGAGGTGCTCTCGGCAGCTTTGAAGACCCATGTGCCGAAGCCGTAGCGCCCGGTCTCCAGCCAGGACCGGACATGGCCCAAGTGTTCCCGGAGTGTTGGGCAAACGCGCGCGTAACTTGGGACTTGAATGGCTGGGATTAGGCAGGACGTCATGAACGTCGAGAGGAGTATTGATAGACAGCGGCTAGCAGCTGGCGAGCGTGTAGAGTCGACGATCGTCTGTTGAGGCTGAAGAAAGCGAAGCGCTGAACAAGGGGGGTACCCTCCCCATAAGCAAGCGCCCTGCACGGCCCAAGGTGATGTGCATACGGGATATGTATGATTGCTGCAGTCAATCTGGCTGCTTAATATCTTGCATCTGAATCGGCGCATCCTGTGGCTGAGGTCTGCTTCCGTCGTCCATCTTTGTTTTCGCAAGATTTCCTGGCTTCGATTGTCAGTGCCGCTGATCAGGATCGACGCCGTAATGCCACTACCAACAACACGAACCACAGCCGGGCCAGAGCGTTGGAAAGCGACATCACCGCGAGCAGCGTTGGAAGGTTCACAGACCGGTAGTCTCAAGTAAGGTAGGAAGCCGTTGGGGTCGAATGTCACCTGCTCGGCTGGCCATGGAAGCAAGCCACGCCGGAGCGGCGCTGGGCTCGGCGACGCCTGACCGTACCAAGCCGAGTTCCCCGGGACACCGGTTGGATGATCAAATGAAGCTATTATCCCTGCGTCGAGCGAGCCAGTGTGACGGATTTTAGGGAGGGCACTGGTCGCTTGGTTATCCCGACAGGACAAGAACAGTTCCTTTTGGACAGTCTTGCTGCGGTGGCTCGTGGTCTCAAGGTTTCGAAACGCTAGACAGCCAAGTTGTTGTTCAGATGCTCCATCGAGGTCCACGGTTCCTCGAGGCGAGGTTGCGAGGTTGGGTTGGGTGATTGTGACCGAAATGAAGAAACGGTGTGAATCAAGTCAATTTCGGGGAACTCAGAAACTGGCACCCGCGCAGAATGAGGTCGGCAAGGTAAGGTGAGGTAGTGCAGCATGGAGGCCGCGCGTGAGGTGAGGTACTCTGCAGTGTGGCGAGGAAATAAAAACATGTGAGTTGAGGGAGGGAGATGTAAGTGTGCAGAAAAGTACAAGCCTGCCTCGGGTGGAAGTAAAGAAGTTTCTTCCTCCCATCTTGCATTTTAATTTTCTACATTCGTAAATACTTGGACATCTAGCAGGCGCGATCCATCGACCATACCTTCCAGTCGTCCCTTCCCGTTGTTGCGATCCGAAGCAGGAACGGCGAGGAAGGAAGGAAGGAAGGGCAGGTACCGTGCGCCTACCTCATCTCGCCGGTGTAGCTTCCAGCTCGTGTCTTCACCTCAAAACATCATCTCTACCTCTTTTGCCCTTGGCTTTAGCTTCACCTGGCCTCTCTTCTTTTTCACAGGCTTTTGGCATCTCCATCCTCCTCCTTCTCTCACGTCACCTTACCAACTAATACCTCAATTACCCAGCAACCCCTCACTTCCTTCCATTCGAACCATTCGCAACCGAGGCGTTCGCAGCATCGTGTCTCAGTTTCCCAAGATAACAGTCCCATCCACCATCAACCACCACACCCACCAACGTCTATCATCACGAGCGCCGTTAATCGCCATCCAAATAGGAAGGCCAATAATCTCGCAATACCACCACGGCGGAAACCCGGCGCTTGTCTCCAATTAACAAGAACCCCCGAGGGTTGTCACACTGTTCCTGTTCCTACACACCATTCACATCTTGATCCAATTTTCCCGCATTCGCGCTCCAGCATTCAGTACCTTACCTCGACTCAACCAACAACCGATTCCGCTGTCATTGCCGGCTCAATTCCCGTCTCGTCCTCGCCATTATCCATGGTTATTGCTCCAACTTAAGCCCTGCACTGCAGTCAGTCAACTGGTGCCGACATTGCTTTTGTGCTGCTGCAGCATTACATCGCCGTGGCCACTAGTAGTTGCGCCGTCCCAAGACCTGGGAGATCGCCCGTCAGCTGATACCGAGCTTTCATCATTGCGCAAGGGGGAAAAACAACACCCTTCTCAACCAAGACGACTCAAATCTTTTCCGTTATCCAACTTACCCGTGCCGTCGCCAGGGACCGACCCTTCCCTTGTTGCTCCCGTTGCGCGCCGACGCCTTCGCGCTCTTTTCCCTCAACAGGTCAAAGCGGCCGAGACCTAGGCCTGGTCTGAGTCTGGGTCACCAAAGCCGAGACCTGTGCGGGTAGGTAGCAAGCATCACGGTCTTGGAGGGTGCGAACTCACCGGTTCTGTATCACCGCAGACCGCAGACGCAGAGCAGAGCCCACCACTTTTTCGAACACCGGTCGTCCTCTGCCTTCTTTTCCTCTCCCTCGCGTCCTAAAAACACTTCTCTCTCGCACTCCACGCCTCAACGACACTCCTTTAAGGTCTCTCCTCCGACGTCCGCTGGCCTACACTACTTTGCAGCGCATCCGCCACCCACACGAGGCTCTCGATTTGAAATCGCCTGCTCCGAACTGATACCCCAATCGCCAGTAATGCTCTCTGTCGCCTCGTCGATATCATGACTCTGTGCGCGTTAGAATCGCCCAAACAAAGGCCGCTACGTTTCTCAGCCCCAAGCAACAACTCATGCTATTCGTCGCATTCGCGCACGCAGCTACAGCTCTCTCCCTCACCAACGATTGTCGTCGAACCCCTCCTCTCCCTCGAACCCCACCTCCGACAGGGACAAGACTCCGAAACTCATCGCCGCCGCCGTTGCACCGCTGGAGAAAGACGTTCCATCAGACAAAGTCGTCCCACACCGAAGCGCATCACCCACGAACGCTAGTCGACCTCCCGCCCAACTGCGCACGGTGCGCTGCACCGAGCCATGTCGACCACCCATACGAATGCGGTGCCGGACTCACAATTGGGGTTGAGCTATGAAGAAATACAACTACTGCGCCAAGGTCAGGCTGCGCTGGGCCAGGGAACCGGAGGAGGCGGGTCAAGTTCGTCCCGCGCCGCAAGCAGGGCCTCGAGCCAGGGCTTGCTGCTGCTGGACAGCACATCGTTGGCGGCGTTGGGGAGATACTTTGACCGAGTTATGAACCAAATCGAACAGCAAATCATTTACCTCAGCGAACAAAGCCAAATGTTCACCATGGCACAATTCGACCGAGCAGGCAACCTCATAGAAGGTGCCGACGCAGAAATCCAGCGATATCACGAAATCCTCCAGCAGCTCGACGAGCTCGAGCTCGACTTCGATCGAATAAGGCATATCAAGGAAATCGTGAGGGGATACCGTTCTCGGGTTGAAGAGATGGAGCGTGAGCTGGAACGAAGCGGCAGCGGCTCGTCGTCAAGACACAGGGAAGGACATCATTCGTCGCATCGACACAGCCATTCCCACCGCTCTGGCCACGAGAGCTCACGCAGGCACCGACGTTGAGCCACTCGTCAGGATGCATGCCAGTAGCTTCACTGGCTGCTTTGCGATTTCAGCCAGGACAGCAACCGTTCATTATATGGCTATACCTACAAATGTCGAAAGGGGGAAACGTCTGAAGATGTCTCATACTTGTGCTGGGATACAGAAATATTGGTTACACGACCGCCACAAAAACACAAAAGGCTCGGAAGCCCCCTCGTCCCAAGCGGGAACATACAGCACCGCGGGGACAGGCATCTGAGCCACAACATTGGAGAAGCTTTCCACTTTGAATTTGAGAAAAGGCGGGCATCGGGTGATATCAAGACAGAGGGCCTCGCGGCTGGACAAGATGGAATAGCCTCACGGCTCGTTGGTTTACTTTACTTGCAAGGCGTTGGTTTCTTTTCTATGTTGCACGTCAATGCCTCGGCGTTGATTGACGACGCAGTTCATCAAAACTTCTTCCCTCGGCACAGTTTCTCGGTTCTTCAAGTTTGAAAAATACCCATCTTTTTTTGTCTCACGAAAACAAAAACTCAAGCCTCACGGCGCTGTACAACTGGATGCGATCTTGATGGCAAGGCCAGGTTTCGACTCGACATCACGAGTCACGCTTTCCATCGACATTGATCTCACTTGTTGGGGTATTACCCAAGGCGTGAGACTGATAGCTGTCCACATGGATTTGTGTGGAAAGTTCGATCTCTCGATATACGTTTTAATCTACCAATTCTTTCTTCGAGGCTGTGCGGCTGACACTGTGCTGGCGGTTCGAGATTTTCCAGGGTGGTTGGATCGCAATTGCGAAGCGCTTAATGCGACGATTATCAGGCTATGGCTTGCAATCACACCCAGGATGATGGGCCGACTGATTCCTGGCTCTCGCACACTTTTGACCTCGGTTCTGTTCGCGGTCCCTGTCGAGGCCACATGTGTTTGGCAAGCCATACGCAGCTGTCTTCTTCAAAGCCACCGTGCTGACAGCAGGCGCCTGCTTCGATAACTCGATGATGACTGATGTCCGCTGTGAAGCCTAATTGCCATCCGATCTTGATGATTGATATTGACGGAGCGCTTGTTTGGGGGAAGTGATTCACAGCCTACATCAGCTTGCAGCGCAGCCTACCTCGACTGGTCAGACGACTGAATGCCCGAGGGTTACACATCATTCAGCCTGATGTTCATTTGGCCATCATATATGTGTCATCATACTCGTTTGTGAAGATGAGGATCTGTTGTGAATCGGCAATAAAGTATCAAACTGAGAAACCAGGGCTCGCATTCTAATCCTCGTTCCCGAGGTATCTGCTCCATCGTTTCAACTGTTGAAATGGGGGGGCATCCTGCGGCAACTGCTCAGAATCCGGCCGATCCTGATATCGTCCGGTTTGGGGCTAAGAACCCACGCCAGACAAGACTGAACAAGCAGTCTTTCCACACCAACACTCTCACGAGGTCGTTTTATGAATTCGTCTTCCCATTACTATCATCTCATATCTTCGTCATCCTAAGGGTAGCTTACGTTGCTAGCACGGCGACCAATCGGCACCAACATGCACACAAAGCTGGATGAGCACGATATATCCCTCCCAGAATACACTCTTGTCACGTGCAACGCGGAAAACGTATCCCAAAGAACTCGGTATTAAACGAATCGTTTCTTCCTCTGCGCGATCAGCCGTTGTTGATCACTAGCAACACGGACCGGCGGTAGCCATGTTTTTTCACACAGACAATGTACGTGTACAATTTCAGTGTGCTCTTTTCGATGTGAGCGGCGTCCCTCGTCGCCCTCGGATCCGGAGTACACATAAGCTGCATCATTTAACTCTGGGGGTCCCTACGCAGTGGAGGTCGTCGCCTCACTCGAGGCCGCCCGCGGCTGGTGGCCCCCCCGCTGGAGAACCTGTAGAATATGCTCAGCCTCCACGCCGACGTGCGCCGGGCCTGGGACGCGGGGACGATCGCGCTGGTGCCCGTCGCGCACGACGAGAGCGGCGTGACGGTCCGGGTTCGATTTCTTTATCGGAGGACCGGTCGGAAGTCGAGATTTAGATGGAGGGGCGATTTGGGTGCCAAGCCTGGGGACGTCCTCCGCGCCGTGGGTGCGCGGGAGCGGTATCTTGATGTGGCTTGCTTCGAGGGGCGCCGTCGGATTTGTGAGGGTGATGAGTTTACGATTCGGTGGGGGGACCCGGAGCTCCGACCGGATCCTGATTTGCTCGATCTTAGGGCAAGGGTGCAGGTTATGGCTTCGCTGAGGGCTGCGGTTAAGGTCCCGCGCGAGATGTGGTGATGGTGCTGCGGTGATGGGGGACGAGTTGGGCTTTGATGGTCACGGCTTCCAGGAGATGTTTGCCAGGGGCTGCGATGAGGGATGGCGAAGACCGGGGTTCGAGGTGGAGAGGGAAGGCGGAGGGCGAGAACGGTGAAGACGAGACAAATCACAATTAGGGCCATGGTGACTCGACGATGCTGTTGACAAGTCGGTGTTCAAGAGGTATTAACTCGGACTCATGCCTGAACAGGGTGCTGTGGCCGTTCTTAGTCTTTTGTCATCTTCGCCGTCACCGTCTCTGTTACCGTCACCGTCGTCGTCGTCGTCGTCTGCGTCTTCTTTGAATAAGCTAGCGACGACGATGAGGAACGCCATCACGGATGCTGAATTGGTAACGAAAGCGGCGGAATTGGGAAGAAGGTGTGGTATTCGACATTGCGAATGGATCGACGTAGAACGAAACTCTTGTCTTGCGATAGGGAGATGAAATAGAAATTGTTGGCTTGTATCGAACAACTTGCGGGTTGTGAAGAGAAAACAAGATGCTCCTGCGTTTTCATTTTGATAAGCCTAGAGGGCATTGCAAGCTGCAGAATAGCAGTCGATTGCATTGGATAGGTGGAAATCTTCGTGGCGTATAGATGTGTTCAAATATTGGACTCGAATCGAATCAGTTACGGTACGAGCCATCTTTACGTATCCAAGAGACAACCGAAGAGCGTATCAAAGATAAGGAGAGGATATACAGAGCCAACCTCAAGCCCCCCGACTATCCCACAAAGCCTTGAACCTCGAAGCCCTTCCCATCAACTCCCTCGGATCCCCAACCTCCACAACCCTCCCCTCATCCATGACGACGACAACATCATACCCAACAATAGCCTCCAGCCGATGCGCGACCTCCACAACAGTAACCCCCTCAAACTCCCCCATCACCACCCCCCTGACCTCCTCGTCGGTCGCGTGATCAACATTGCTAGTCGCCTCGTCCAACAACACCACGCCCCCCCTCCTCCTCCTCAGCACCGCCCGCGCCAGACAAAACAGCTGCTTCTGCCCCGCGGACAGGCCCGTCTCCGCCATCTCCGCGTCCAGGCCCCCGCGCGCCTCCACCGCGTCCCAGACCCGCGTCTTGCGCAGCGCCGAGACGAGGTCCGCGTCCGGGTTGTGGCCCGCCGGGTCGATGTTGTCGCGGACCGTGCCGGGGAGGAGGACGGGGTCCTGCGGGAGGGTGGTGAGGGCGGCGCGGACGGCGGAGCGCGGTGCGGTCAGGAGGGAGCGCGAGGCGACGGCGAGGGTGCCGGAGGGGTTCTGCAGGTCGAGGAGGCGGAGGAGGGCGAGGAGGAGGGAGGATTTGCCGCTGCCCGAGCGGCCGCATATGCCGACCTTTTGACCGGGGTGGATTGTGAGGGTGATGTTCTTGAGGACCGGGTCGGTATCGTCGCTGTTTTGGGGGGGATGTCAGTTTTGAAGCGAATCAGGGGCGACGGATGATGGTACCTGTAAGAAGCTGTGGCGTTCCCGATCTCGATCTTGCCGTTCTCCGGCCACGTCGGCGGCGGGAGCTCCCTCTCGCACTCGCGGTCCTCGCGGGGGGTGAACTCGACGAAGTACTTCAACCTCGTGATGGCCCCCAGGCTGGTCTCGAGCATGGTCCACATCTCGATGAAGTTGCCCAGTGTCTGGTTGAAGCTGATGATGTTCACCATCGCGAGCCCGATGGCGCCCTTGGTCGTGGTCCCGCCAAAGAAGAGCGCGAACGCGACGAGCACCAGCGCCATGCCGGCCACGAAGAGGTCGAGCACGACGTTCAGCCAGCGCTGGACGCAGAAGAAGAGGTAGTACGGCCGCTGGGAGGCGTCGAGCAGGGCCTGGCTCTCGCGGAGCATGGCGGGGCGCCAGGCGAAGGCGCGGAGGGTGGGCAGCCCCGCGAGGACCTCTGTGAAGTGCGTGAAGAGCGGGGACTTGGCCTCGAGGTCGATGTGGCGGAGCTGGCGGGAGGTGCGGAGGTAGTACTTCTGCAGGAGGTAGAGGGCGGCGAAGGACGGGGGGACGAGGGCGGCGACGTAGGTGGCGCCGGAGGCGATGATGGCGGTCTCGGCGAGGACGAAGAGGATGCTGTGGAGGGCTGCGTAGGCGGACATGGGGAGGCGGTGGTCGATTAGGGCCATGTCCTGGCTGAACCTGTTGAGGGTGACGCCGCTGTCTGTTGTCGTGAAGAAGAGGAGGGGGGCGCTGCGGAGGGTGGTTGTTAGTTTTTGGATCGTGGGTTTGGGAGGGGTGGACGTACGCTAGGACGGCGTCGAGGAGCATCTGGTGTAGATGCCGCGCGGAACGGGGGATGGCGATGAGCATCCAGAAACTTGAGACGTTAGGTGGGATCCGCATGAATACATGGGAAGGGTCGTACCTGATGGAGACGCCATTCATAACTAGACAGAGGAGGGCGAACATCAAGTAGATGCCGAAGAACATGGCGGGACGCTCGTTGGTGCCCTCCTCGGTCCAGATCCGCAGCCAGATCTCTGGAACGTGTCAGATGTCAGTCGAGCTACAATTGTGTACGCCAATGGGCATCTTTCTTACGCGGGAGTTTGGCGAGGGCCACGAATAGCACGGACATGAAGATGAACGGGCCCAGCATGCGCCAGCCCATGGACCTGAAGTAAAGCTTGTAGACTTCCGTATCGCCGGTCTGTCTCGTCAGTTCCGCTTCCGTGACCCTCGGGTTCGTAGACACAGGGGCCTCGGCCTTGGATGGCTTCGCATCTTCGACGTGTTCATCGGAATCTTCTGCGTCGTCTGGGACGGGCTCTTTGCCCTTGACGTCCTCGGCGAGGTGGCCCCAGACGGAGCGCGGCACGGAGTCGAACGTGATCTGGTTGTGGAGAGTGGCCCCGTCGTCGATCATGGTGATGTAGTCTGCGGCGGGGAGGAAGTTGACTGCAAGAAGCATCAGTAAGTAGGAAAGCCAGTGTGAGGTATCGACAGACCGTGGTTGGTTGCAAGGAGGACCGTCATGCCAGCTTGACGGATGAGGCCGCTCGGTCCGAGAAGGCGCTGGAAGACGGCTTTGGAAGTCGAGTTATCAAGCCCGCTGAAGACATCGTCGAGCAGAAGCAACTTCTTGCGAGAGTATACGGCACGGGCCAGGGCCTAGACATTTGTTAGCCTTCGCTGCCAAAAGCATCACGTTCGACGAGACCTACCACTCTCTGCTTCTGACCGCCACTCAACGTGATGCCCCCTGTGCCAACAAGTGTGTTTTCGGCTTTGGGGAAGAGACTGATGTCTTGGTCCAGAGCACAAGCGCGGACGACTGCGGAGAACCACGTGGCGTCATACGGAACCTGACCGGTGACGTTGTCCTTGACGGAAACGTTGCGCAGCCAGGGGCTTTGGTCGCAGAATGCGACGGAGGAAGTGTACAGGGTGACGGTGCCGGAGCTGATGCTGAGCTCACCGAGGATGGCCTTGAGTAGGGAAGACTTTCCGCTTCCGACCTTGCCCACGACCATGGAGATAGTACCGGCCCGTAAGGTGAAAGATGTGTTTCTGAGAATCTCGGTGCCGTCTTTCAACGAGAAGTTCGCGTCTTGGATGGTCACCAGAGGCCTACCGGCTTCGATTGACACCGGTCTATCCTTCGTCTTCAAAGACTGAAGCTCGATGACGCCACTTGCCAATACTTCGGCTGATCTGGGGGTAAGGGGCTGTGTGTCTGATCCATGGAGGCTCGGTCGCGGATGTACAGAGTCGAGAGAGGCCTTCTCAGACTTCGACAAGATCTGTCGTTGGTCTTCAAGCTCGTCCAGGAGTAGGAAACTCTGGATCCTCATGAAGCAGCCAAAGGCACCCATAAGCTGTATGATGGACATGATCAGCTTCATCAGCGGGCCGGAAACCAGCACGATGATGGATAGCGCGGTGAAGGCCTCGGCGATGCTTAGCCCTTGCTCGGATCGAGTCCAAAATACGGCAGCGGCGATGATGACCACAGGTGTCATCTGCTCAGCGATTCCGACTGCGATTGTTCAGACACGCAGCCGGTAGACGGCGACTGGCGGAGGAGACTTACCTATAACGCTGAGACCGGTGATGAGAACCCTGAACTTGACGGACAGTTTGAGTTCCGTGGCGCGCAGCTTCTGCACAATGCTGGAGAAGTGATCCGTGAGGCCCATCATCTTGATGCCTTTGATCTGATTCAGCATAGATGATGTTATGGAGACGCGCTTCTGGACGCCCTGGTTCCAAGCCACTCGCGCCGGAGCCATGCGCGCCGATAGTTTCGTGGTGATACCCGTACACACTAAGCCTTGGTTAACTCTGACCATCAATCGGAGAGCTTGAATGTAACTCACGCAGTCCAGGAATGAGAAGGAGAAAACAAGGCGGGCCGACTTGGCGATAGAGCAGATAGATACCGACCGGTAGCTCGACCGCAGCGGCCCAGACGTCGTGAATGAACGTCATCGATACGGCGATGTTCTCGATATCAACGCTCATGAGCGTGACGGGTGCCGAATCCTTGATGGCAGAGGCGTCTAGGTTAAGCGTCTTCTTGAAAATCAGAGACACGATACCGCCGCGGAATAGGGTCACCAGCTGGAAAGTCATGTGTTGGTACCAGCATCGCGAAACCTGCATTTGTCAGAGCAAGACACACATCTTGGAAAGCGCCGTCGAGAACCTACAGCAAGGCCGACGTAGATACATGCCGTAGCTCCAACGAGACCAGCGGCGATGTTCTTCGAGTCATCCGTCCAGGGGCTTCCGACAAAGTTGACAATGCGATTGACAAGCAACGGCTGCGCGAACGTGAAGCCCGCGAAAAGAAGCCGAGGGAAGACGCCGGCCAGGAACGTGGTTCTGAACGCCCAAAAAGTGCTGAAGACCAAGCTCCAGTTGCTGTCCTTCTTGCCTGTATACTGTCAGAACACGCATTATCGAAGGAGAGGAAAAAGCCTACTCTTGGCCCATGACCGATCAAGCATGCCAAGCAAACGCGCCGAATCGAACTTGGGATCGATGGCACCGAGGTCCTCGAGGCCGATCAGCAGCCGGAAGCCCTGGAAGAACAGGGAGTTGAGCCACCAGAACAGACTCCGGCTCACGACCCCCGTCGTCGACTCGACGGCGACGTCCTTCTCGCTGCTGGGCAGGAGGACCCGCTTCGGTGTCTCTTCGAGGGCAAGAATGACCACTTTGGCGAACAGAGACGCGGTGAAGACGCCCGCGACGGAGGTGAGGCCGTCCCTGAGCCAGAGCGTCCTGGCCTGGGCGATGTCAAGAACGATGGTGAGGACCAGGTAGAGGCCTAGCAGTGCGGACGGGCGGATGGAGCGTTTATGTTCGGTGTACGAGAGTGAGGCGATCGCGGCGGCCTCGACTAGGCCCAGGACGCTTTCTGCGACCGAGGTGCGCGTGCTGGGTGTCGATGGAAGGGCCCATAATGCTACGAGAACTATTTGAAGGCAGGTGAACACCCCGATGGCGACCTGGAAATTGTCATTAATACAATTCGCAAGATCTCATTACTGGGGGTCGTTTACCAGCTTGAGCCACAGGAGTGTCCCCGAGCGAACGCGTATATCACTGCCGCGAAGCCATATGATGCGGATGGGAGCCAAGATGATGAGCAAGGCGGTGGGTAAAATAGAGAGAATGGCTTGCTCGAAGAGGACGGTGAAGTCGAAATAGCCGTTGACCTGAGGGCCAAAGTAATCGTCACTAACACCACTCATCGTCACACGCTATCGCAATTCGCGTGACTGAAGCACCGAGCGTACGATTCAAAGATCAAGATGCGTCGACGGGACCAACGTCTTGCGAGTCGCGAGCTTCTTATCCAGGCGCCGAGACGTCGATCGTCTCCCCTGCGGCGCGGAATCTCAGCTTCCTATTCGAGCGCGCCGACGCTGACAAGCCAGGGAAGATGCCGCAACTGCGGTCTGCCGCTTGTACTTGGCTCGCCCGTCCAATCGGTTGGCTCCAAATGTCTGAGAGATGCGCGTCCAAGCCCGGTTCCAACTGAAATGTTGGACCTTTGGTCCTTATCAGCATGCGCCAGTCGATTCCGTGATACGGCTGTTGGTTATCATATCTTGGTATTCCCAACTCGCGTGCGGATTATATTCGACTCGCTCTGTTTTGATTTGGGGCGAATGCGCAGGTCCTGTTCATGTCAGTACCTGGTACGATGAGTAGCAAGGGGTATTATATGGCGTCATTGGTGGCACGTACGTGCAATTTGATTCTAGGCTTTTAGAAGAATTATCGCTTGATATCTGGTCACTGGGACTTTCCCACGGCACCGGTGATTGACAGTCCACCTCCCTTGGCCGGCGTCCTCTCCAGCTCAACCTCCTCCAACGCCAGTCTTGGTCCTTTGCCAAGCACCTTTTCCCGATGCCACTGCCCGACAAACATTCCCTCCGGATCGGCCTTGTTTCTGACGGACCGCCACTGCTCGAGCTCTTTGCCGTAGAAGTCCTCAATGGCCTCACTCTCGACAAAATTCTTTGCCCAGTGCGGCTTACCACCCATCTCCGTCATCAGCCACTCGAAGGCCTGGTAGTAGCGCTCTCGACACGGCGGGTCCATTAGGTACGGGCGGTAGAGAGTCGCGTTAAGATACAATGTCGGCCCGTCCGGGAGGGTAGGGTCGAGGAGCGGTCTCGCGTTGGAGGTCAATGATGTGTCGCTGACACGGACCTCGACCGGCGCGTGCACGTAGAGCCCTTCCGCCGAGTAGGGAATATTATGCGGCACGTAGTCGGGGTCTGCTGGGGTCAGGTGGTTCAACCACGAAGAGAGGCGGCGCAGGGCTTCGGGGCCCCTTGCCAGTGGGATAGCCCACTCGTTCACGAACTGCGAGTAGAGACAGTTCATGAGAAGGGCCTTACGGCTTGGCTGTACTGCAGAGATGGTCGATCCGTTGGAGAAGCCGTATTGCATGCCGAACACGAACCATTCGACCATCGGAAGTATCCTGGGGACATACTGCGCGAGGTACAGCAGGTTGTGATAGATGTAGTAACCCAACGCCCCATCATAATTCCTCTTCGGAGGGTCGACGTGCTTTTCGTTCGTCTTGTCCGCCTTCCAAACCACCGCCCTCCGAGTATAGGGAAACCACCACACACGGACGAACTCGCTCTGCGTCCACAAATCCTTCTTCCAGGCATTGAACATCTTCACGTCCGTATCGATCGTCTGCGTCCACCGCAGCGTGAACGAGCGGGCAGCGCGAAACGTGATCTCGGTGATTATGCCCAACGCGCCAAGGGAGAGCAGCGCCGCGCGGAACAGCAGGGGATTTTCGTCGCGAGAGCACGATTCCGTCGTGCCATTGGCCAGAGTGATCTTCAGAGCCAGCACGTCCTCAGACATGAGTCCGTGGAAGAGACTGCTGCCGTGGGTACCGGTCGAGATCGCGCCGGCGATGGACTGTTGGTTGATGCTGCCGAGGTTCGGCATAGTCAGGCCATGGCGCTCCAGCTCGTCGCAGAGGGTGTACAGCCGGATCCCGCTCTGGATCACGGCCAGACCGTTCGAGTCGTCGACGGAGAGGATGCGGTTGTACTTGTCGAGGTTGACCAGCCAGCTCGAGGTGCACGTGATGTTGGAGGGCGAGTGGCCGCATCCGGCGGTCACGATGCGGCGGCGGCATTTGCGCGCGAGGTTGACGACTTTCTCGATCTCGGCGAGGGACTCGGGCTGGATGTATAGCTCGGGTCGGGAGTAGAAGGTCTTGGCCCAGGTGTGGTGGACGTGGTTTGGGCGGGCGCGGAAGGCGATGCCGTCGCCGGCGCTCTTCTCGAGCTCTGCGTTGATGGCTGGGTCCATTGCGCAGGCAGGGTGAGCCGGACTTGGTCGGGAGCGATCAGTTGTATGATGCCCCTCCGAATGTTGCTTTTTCCTACAGAGATAAGGTTTTGTACGAATATAGACCCGTGGAAGAGTTCAGATTCGTCCTTGTCAAGGGGGTCCTCCGATCACCGGCACTGATGGATATACATTGGGAGAAGAGAAAGAGAGAAACATGGCTAGCAGTGAGAGAAGTGGAACGTCTGTGATAATATTAACTCAAAACCCGCGCGGCTGGTGTAGGAAAGGGCTGGAAATAGACGGGATGGAACATGATTAAAAATGTCCCTAGATCCGGTAGCGTGTTAGCGGATGAGCTCATTGATATCCCCAAGATCGCGGCGCCTGTGATTCGCCGGGCGCAAAAGTCATCGAGTCACCGTTTGCGACATGTGCGTCCCGGCTCAGGTACATCGCCATAGCTCCAGGGACTGCGCGCTAATCCCGCAGGTGCGCCAGTGGTCCGCGGGGTGAGCTCCGCCGAGCTGTGATCCCTGTACCGACAAAGCCGAGGACGTCCGAGAGTGCACTGAGACTGGAATAATTATGTCGCTGATTTGTTTCGTGGTGACATCTTCTGGATATTAACTCGGGCTACGGAGTATCGCATTTTCTTATCCGATTGCCTCCTCCATCCTTCTGGTCTCGTTAACGTACTGACGTTCCACATCTGCGCTACTTGGCTTCGCTCCAACAAACCCAGAAAACTCCAATTCCTCCGTCCGACAAGAAGAAATGTGCCCTCAGATTAGCTCTCTTATGTTCTCACGGACAACGGCCGACGGGCTCCGCCACAAGTGACTGGATATGCCCTCGTGCTGTCTGCAACTTTGGCTTAATGGACTTTGGTTCATCACCGGGCAATTCTTGTTTCGTCGTGCTGCCGCTTGGCAAGCAGTTCTGAGATCTGTCGCGGATTAGCATGCTTCTGACATGACCTTGGGGAAGTCCACTTACCGGCCAGCTCCGATTGAAAACTATATAATTCCTGTCACGAGTGTCGTCCAGGCAAGCCGCGACCCTTGCAGGCACGACCGTGAGCCGAGGACGGCGCTTCTAGACTTTGCAATTTGTCGTCATTGCGGCGCATGACCCCAGAACGAGCGCAAGCCAAGAAACAAGACACGACGAGTGTACCGGACTGGTTTCCCAGCCGGCGCCTGCTCAGATTTCTGTTCTTGGTGCTGGTCCTTTCATCGGCTGAAGGGTTTCGAAAGAAACCGCATCGTTGACGATCCCATAACCATGTGAGAGTTTTCTTCAGCGCAGACGAGACTTCGTAAGAAAATAAGGTAAGAATAACAAAAAGAAGGCCCTGAAAACGAAAGACGCCATGATCGTCAAGATCTACATAGGCAGGTACGCCTGGGCGGTTGATAATGCGAGGCATCCCACTCGGGAGCCAACAACTCTAGTCGTATGTTAAGCGGGACATTGGTTAAATGAACGCGACGATGCGATAGCTGTCGCTGAACAGCGACACTGAGAAAATTGTGAATCTATTCCATTTGGAACGGCAAACGGGTGTGGTCATCTAGAGAATCGTCAGTGCTTCACTTTCGCGGTGCAGACGCAGCTTCTCACCAGCAGTTATCTTGGATCTTCGATGGCCGAACACAACCTCGGTGATTTGAGGAAAATATACAGGACGCGCGACGTTATCTTAATGCGAGACTTGAGAAGACGGCACGACGCGATCTCTCCGACGACCTAGAAGTTGGGAGTGAGGTCTACTTGATGGATGGATGGTTTGCGCAAAGAAAGAAGTTCAAGTCGCGACCAGACCACCTGCGGACGCGACCTGGCTTAGTGGAACCGGTACCCTGAAAACGACAAGACCCACTTAAAATTGAGTGGGATTGCGCCACATTACAGTGCCTGCCCCCAGCCACATATCATCACGAAAGAATGGGAACGTCGGGGGTGTTATCGGTCTAAGTAAGAAGACAGCTTAACTTTTGAGATTCTATTCCTAACTTGAAACCTTTTCATAATCGCATCATTTCCCGTGGAACGTCTAAAGTCTAAACTTCTCGGCCTCAGCCGCCTCCTCCAACCGAGCCTCCACACGCTCAATCACGTCCGCAGCATACAAGTCCTCCAATTTGGCCGCACCGTTGAGGTACTCCTTCTCGTGGCGTATGGCCTCGTCTCTGGTCATGCAAACCAGGTCGCGGAACCGGATGTTGGTCCACTTCTGCTGCTCGGCGCCCTCGCCGATCGTGAGCTTCGTCTCGCCCTCCGGCCTCATCCACCGGACGAGCACCAGCCTGTTGATGAGGCCCGTGATGGCGCTGCGTCCCTTCCATAGCTCCTCGGTAAGGAAAGCGGCGTCGCCGAGGGAGATCGGGACCCTGATGCCCTTGGACTCCTCGACGCCGTGCTTGTGCTTGACGAGTCGGGTCTCCGAGGCCTGGATGAAGCCGACGATGTCATTATACAGCTTGTCGCGGTTCTTTGCGGGGACGTAGTCGAGGGGGTATTCTATCATCCAAGTTAGTCGATAAGGGGCGGTACCATGCGGGTAGGCTTATCTTACCAGCAATGCTGAGAATAACGTGGTTGGCAACGATGTATCCGAAGACAGCGGGCATGGTTCCAAGAACAGGGAGGATTCGCACTCTGAAGCTGGGGAGAACACTCAGGTCACCGACGGTACCCTTCTTGAACTCCTCCTCGGAAAGGGGCAGCAGAGCAGCCTTGCCCTCGCCGGCAACCTCGTTGGAGTAGACCACAGGGATACCGCTCGTCACGCCGAGAAGCTTCAGCTTCCTGCGCGTAGCCCTCGAGAGACCATCGTCAGTGCTGGCTCCAATATCGGCAACGTTGATACGCGTAGGATCGCCCTTGGCACCGGCTCCCATCGAGGAGATGACCGGAATCTTGTTATCGTGGCAGAACTTCAACAAAGCGACCTTCGTATCAATGTTGTCGATAGCGTCAACCACGAAATCAGGCTTCTGTCCATCCTCGGTCCAGGGCGCGAGCAGCTCCGCCGCGACGTCCTTTTCGAACTTCTGGTTCCGGAGGTCGAACTTGGCCCACGGGGTGATGGCGATGAGGCGGCGGTAGAGGCACTGGACCTTGGGGATTCCGACGTCCGCGAGGGTCGCGACGGCGTGGCGGTTGAGCGAGCTGAGGGTGACCTGGTCGAAGTCGATGAGGCGGATCTTGGAGACGCCGGAGCGGGCGAGGGCGGCGGTGCAGTGGGAGCCGACGCCGCCGACACCGACGACGACGACGAAGGACTTGCGGAGTTTCTGGAGGCCATCGTCTTTCAGGAAGACCCTGTTGCGGGCGAGCTGTTCGAGGATCAGCTCCTCGTCGAAGTCGCCGGCTTGGGCTCTTCGGGCAAGGGCCTGGTTGCGGGCATCCTCCTTGTCGACAGGGGGAGATGCGGCGCCGTACGTAGTGAGCTATGTGATGGTTAGCTGGCTGAAGAGTTGAACGTTGTGTAGTAAGATCCACCAAGGATGAAGAGTGATGACTTTGAGTGTGTGGGAGGGACGTGAGTGACATACGCTTCCAGATGAGTCGGCAGATGCGGGTATCGATTTCTTCAGGTCATGAATTCGTTCTTCGCGCTCGAATGCTTGGTATCCAAAAATGAGACATGCTACTGTTGCGCCGGACAGCACAGCGGTGGCTGCCAACTGTATATGCGGGTTTGACGCCGCTTTGGCTAAGAATGAAGACATTTTTATCGTCGTGTGCTCATGATGTACATGAGAAACGCCTTAAAACATCCAGATAGCTAGGGATTCCAAGGAAAAAACCTAGATCTGGGCCAATTCTCAAAAGAATGGTGCGACCCTCTATGAACCAAATGGGTCTGAACCTCAAAGTCCGTCTGTCGCCATCGCGGGACTCAAACCAAAAAAAATAATTAAAAAGTCCGTCCGGTGAGTAGCCAATCAGAAGTGGCCGTCGACATGCGGAACAACGGCACCCCACAGCGACATCTGAGCACTGAACCTACCAACCCCACGCAATCCAAACCTTGAGTAGGACTGGACGACATCACAGCCTTCGAAGCTGCCCCCAGCAGCCATTGCACCTCCAAACAGGCGAAAAACATCTCGACGCTACCCGCGTCAGATGGCGATTCGAACATCCGCATGACGACCCCCCTCCAACGGCCCGCAGCAGCCACAATGCGCCAACGCCTCGCCCTCCGCCGAATCCTCCTCCAGAGGCTCTTCCAGCTCCAGACACAGACGTCGACCCGCCCCTTCACCAGCAACACCGCCGCCCTCACCTCCTCCCGCCGCGGCCGCCCACAGCTCCCCTTCCTCGCGATACCCATCACCACGCGGCCCCGCGCCCGCTACTTCACCACCGAGAAGAAGCAGTGGCTCAAGTTCGAGTCCCGCCTCTTCCTCCGCTACAACGTCTCCATCTGGGGCGGCGCCCTCTGCATCCTCGCCATCGTCTTCCTCCTCAACCAGGAGCGCCTCGAGAAGGAGTTCCCCACGCCCCACGAGTGGTCCGTCATCACGCGCATGCGCATCCGCGGCGCAAAGGTCGCCGCCGCGCATCCCCAGCAGAGGCAGGTCGACTGGATCGAGGTCATCGTCTCGTGCATCGAGGCGCTCAAGAGGCTGGAGGACCCCGCCGTCGACGGCGCGGGCATCAGGGAGCTGCTCGACGAGCCGCTGTCCGTCGAGGGCGTGGGGGCCGCGGGCAAGGACGTCTCGGCCAAGAGCGAGAACTGGCGGAGGGGCTACTACGAGGTGCTGATGCTCACAGCGCAGGCCGCGGAGCAGCTGGACGGCTGGGTCAGGGACACGACGCGGGACATGGTCTTCCCGCCCGAGATGGTCATCGGGCCGTCGAACCCGCGCCCCAAGCCGATCCCGCCGGGCTCCGAGAAGGCGCCCATGGAGGAGAACTGCGTGGTCGCGTACGAGCCCGCGGATAACATATACCTGCGCGTGCTGATGACCAAGGGCTTCACGAACCGGCAGAAGATGGACGCCGCGCTGGCGTACGCATCGTTCCTCGACTTCAAGAAGATGTCGGACGCCGCTGACAAGATGTACGAGTGGGCGCTGTCCCTCGCGACGGAGACGGCTCCCGCGTCGTTGGTCGACGCCCGCACGTATACCATCAACGACAAGACGACGCTGCCCTCCGAGAACGTGCTGCATGTCCTCACGGCGATCGCCGCGCATAAGGCGCGCACCGGCGACGTGACCGCCGCGCTGCCCATCTTCATCTCTGTCCTCCGCGCCCGCCGCTCGTTGCCCTCGACGCCCCTCCCGGGCCAGGAACGTCCTCAGGAGGTCCCCAAGACGCTCTGGCAGAGAGCTTGGGACCTGGCCTCGGCACCGAAGTACCCGCCGCCGCCCGATGACGGCTCTCGCCCTCCCTGGAGGCACCCGAAGGAATTGTGTGAGGAGGCCGGGCTGAATCTGTACATCGGCGAGATCCTGTACTCGTCGAAGGACGGGAAGGCCAACCGGGAGGAAGGTCTCGCTTGGACCCGGGACGCCGTCGATCTGGCCGAGGAACAGCTCCGCAAGCTCGGCACTGCGGGAGGCGACAAGGAGGCCCGCCAGACGTGCCGCGAGTGTCTGGGCGCCGGTTTGGACAACTGGAAGGCCATGGTGGCGAGGCTGGCCAAGGAAGAGGAGGAGAAGAAGAAGGCTGGCCCTAAGAAGTCCGCGTTCGGTTTCTGGACCGAGACACAGACTGTTGATGGAAGGTGGGCGGCGGAAGAGGAGGTCGTCAAGGAGAGGATACGCCGCACGAGGGAGTTGCTCTTCAATGTTGAGCCGCCGGCTGCTGGGCTCGCGTCGTTGCTCCAGGCGTAAGGTCCACGTGAGAGGATCACATGTATAACACTGTCAAAATTGCCGGGGGACCAATGATACCAGAAGAATTAATTCTCTAGACTCCAGACCGGCTTTAGAAATGCCGTTGCTCTGTATGAAGCAGCCAAGCGGTCTCCAAAATCCGGTCTACCTTCAGATCTATGGCTCTCGTTACTGCATGTCTCATCGCACCATGATGTCGCATTTCCATGAAAGCCCAAATGCCTCACTCGTTCTAATTAACATCTCGGCCCAAGCTCCGTGGACAATCAGTGTGTCCAAAACGAATGTGGTTCGCTCTAACAGAACGACAGCCGTTTGTAACGCAGACATCAAACAGCGATTCGCGCCGAAGCTGCAGGAACTGAGATGCCATAACTAGCAGTTTCATTGGCTTGATCATCGGCATCACGACCGTTGTCCTTGGTGTCGGGGTCCTCAGCCAGCTGCTTCTGAACCTGGGCCTCAATGTGCTCTTGCAACCCCTCCAGTGCCTGGGCTTCCTCGGCGGCTTCCCGTGGGATAGCGTAACCCAGACTGGGTTTGGCGAACTCAGGCATTTTCTCCCAGGCTGCGTCGAAGGCAGATGTGGTAGCAGCCCATTCCTCTTCTGTAGGGACAGGCGGGTCGACGGGTACGACATCGGGATGACGGTACTCGGAGCCCGCTTTGGCAACTTCCTCAGGCCAGGCAAGAATCGGGGTGCGACTGGTAATGAGCATCATCTCGATGTAGTAGGCCTCTCCCGAGGCGAAGACGGTGCAGCCGTGCTGTGTGAACGACGCGGTGTTGGGGTTGCCTCCGGGCCTGGCAAGAGGTGTAAGGGCAGCCGCGTCATCTGCGATGTAGGCTCGGGCGCGGCGGACAAGGAAGTCTTTGAATGGCTGGTGAGAGAGCTCGTTGACGTCGGTACTGCTGCCCAAGACAGACAGCGTGTTGATCCTGTGGCCGATGGTGGCGAAGGTGGCCGAGTTGTCGAGAGCCTTGGTCACATTGTCGGCGCTGAGACCTATGCCGATGATGTCGATAAGGGCAGTCTCGGAGGTGAGGGCGGGGATGACTTCATCGAGAACGGACTGGGCGTGTGCCATGGGGCTCTCGTTCTTGGGGATCGAGTGAAGCTTGGGATTATGGGCGCGGCCGTGGTGAACCATGCTCTTCATCGGTACAGCGGTGGCGGAGACGGGGCTCAGTGCCTTCTTGCCCTCGGGCCACCACCAGAGCTCACCAGCGTTTGCAAGGATGATTCCGGGCGGAAAAGAATCGGTTGCGGTTGAGGCTTGGTTCTGAAGCTCTCGGACGACAGATATCATGGTGCCCCTGTCGATGCCGCCAGATCTATTGGCGACACGGAGAGCCACATTACCGAGGTCCTGGCAAGGCTCACCAAATATGACGACGACGCGGGAGGCGGACGCAACGTTGGCGCTGGTGAAGATAGGAACGTTGGGTGACGTAGCCGGCGTGCCCAAGGGAAGGAGGACCTTCGTTAGGTCTTCCTTCTCAAGGCGGGCATGAACGACATCCCGAATGGCCTCTGTGAGATGTTAGCTGAGCCAAATTCGTGGATAGAAGTAGGTTGTGCTTACCGTTGAAGTGAAAGCGTTGACGGTCGTTGACTCGGCTATTCTTGGTCAGGAAGTACTTGAAGTAGACATCGGGTTCGTCAATGTTGCGGATCTCATCATCATCGTTGATGAAGTAGCTACGGAGGTTAGTTCCTGCCTCGTACTATTGTCGACAAGAGGTACTCACCCAAGCTTCTTTAAGTCGGATGGGAACTTAGGGTCTTTGGGCAGACCAGACCAGCGGCGGCGGAACATGTCGGAGGGTGGTGATGACGAAAGAGATGTGTGGTTGGTGAGCTGGGGTTCTGCTGCTTAGTTGCTGTCAAGATGGAGGAAGGTAGGTAAGAAGAGGCCCTGTGAGATTTTGAGGGCAGGGTGGATTGTAGAGGAGATGTTGTGAGATTGTTGTTGGAGGTGAATGTGGTAAAGCCCAGAAGACAAGAGAAGCGTCTAAATAAGTAGGGCAGAAGTAAAAGTCTTCAGTCTCGGATAACTGCTGAAAGAGCAGCCGCGGGCCCCTACTTCCTTCTACGTCACAAGAGACCAATGGATGTCCAGCTGATCTGTCGACAATCAAAGAGGGAGATGTTGTACATTTTACATATTTTTAATTTCGTCAAAGTCTTGACCCCAGCTGTGTCGAAACTGCGACCTAACGCCTGATTCTCCTCGTCTATACGTCGCCGAAATCGATCATAGCTTACGCCTTTGGAACGGCATCTCGGCCAGTTTTGTATTTTACACAGGCACTTGCGCGCCGTACTCGTCCTCGTCGTCTCTTGTCGTACACCCAATTACCAACTGGCTCTCTTCACACCGGGAAGGTTGCCCTCGTAGGCCTGCATACGGAAGTTGAACTGTCGAACCGTTAGAAAGCTGCACTTATTACGGGATTCCCTCAAGAAGTCGACATACCCTCGTCATCTTGAAGTCCCTGAAGACACCCCTTGCCTTGCCTCCCATGATGCAGCGGTTGCGGATCTGTGTCGGGCGGGTGTAGCAGTGCATCTGCGACAATTGCAACTGCGCCTCGGCGCGCGTACGGGGAGGGAGGGTCGTGTTGCGGATGATGTGACGGAGAGCTTGTCTATGATGGTCGCAATGTCAGTATTCGTCTAGATGTTGTCGAGGTATCTCGGGTAATGCGGACCTCTCGGGCTCGTTCTCCATAAAGACCTGGCGCTTGGTGTGGTCGCGAATCGTCCGGATGTTGACGAAGCAGCCCAGGTCGAGCTTTTTGGCGCGGAACATCGACATTTTGGCGGTGGCTGGGGGGATTGGACAGCGCTGTCGATGGTCGGGGTATCGGGTTCAAGAAGTGTTGACTTGAACGGGCGGCGGTCGGAGGATTGTTCGGCGTCGTCGGCGGCTGTCCACTCGAAAAGATCCAGTCGTGATGGCTTGAATTGATGGCGCGGGAGAATGCGGTGGTCACGTGGCAGTCTTATCTTATCGTTCACCGAGCGAGCTCGCCGACCGAATCCCTGTCATAGCTCTCTGTCGACTTAGTTCCCAGTCGCGCAAGGCATCATTTATCCTTCTTTTTTCCTCGTACTTATCTGAAAAAAAGAGGGAAAATCAGGAACAATAGCCGAGAGAAATTTTGGTATGAATAGCAACCCAAAGCCCTTCCGAGAACGCCAGCCGTCGTCGCAGTCTATGTCTGGACGCCTAACATTGCAATATGATACAACAGCACACTCCATCTCCCACTATTTCTTCACCCTCAACGAATTAACCAGCCATCATAAGTGCGCCCGAGAGGTGAGCACCGCGAAAGAGTGCTATAACTGATCCAGAAGCTTCTGCCGCCTTCTGTTGATCAATTCCTCCTGCACCTCCTCTAGTGTCGGTAAATCCCATCCCTTGCCGTCTCCCGCGTCGCCTGGCAGAGGTTCCCAGTCGGCTGGTGGTTGTTTCTTGCCTGACTTGGCCATGTGCTCGAACGCTTCCTCCTCCTTGGCGGCCTCGTACGCCAGCAGGTCTTTATCCTCCTCATCTGGCGCGTAACCGTAGTACGCAGCATCGACTTGTTTCCGCAGATCGTCTCTTGTCTCGAGTGGCTTCTCGTCCGTTGCTTTCGCCTTTGCTGCATCGAACAGCTCCTTGACACCGGGCAGGTCTCGCGCGCGTCCGAAGTAGCGATAGCCCTTGCCGCCGCCGGGTATTTCTCGTCCTTGCTCGTCGTAGATTTTGCCGCCTCCGCGCATGTAATTCGGTCCTCCCAAGTTCCGTATTTGTACCTCCCACATGTACTTCTCCCTCATCAACTTGTTGATCTCGTCATTCAGATCGCGGATTTGATAATCGCTCAGCGCGATGTCCTGGATTTTGGAGACCTTGCGCGAGATCTCCTTGAGCACCTGGCCGCGCCATTTTTCGCAAGAGGGGATCGAGTCGACTTCGGTGATGACTCTGGGTCGTCTCGTTCTGCCGATATCGATAATACCTAGGTCCGCCGCCTGTGCTTCGCGGAACCTAAACAGCATGGACTGCGCCTTTTCTGAGTTTCGCGCCTGCACTTGTTAGCAATCCGACAGGTCCAACAGCATCATTTTGACGAAGAACCGTGAACTGTGTGTCGAAACCGCCAAACAGCTTCTTCAGAGCCGGCACCAGTTTGAGTACACAATCAAGAGTCGCTTACCATTTTGAGAGCGTTTGAGGCCGGGCAGGCGTCGGGCTTCCTGGGCTGGGGGTTGGGTGTTCAACTTTGTGAGGCAGGTGGAAGAGGAAGTCGGTCGCACTTTCAAAAGGCGTTGACCTAACTTTCCAGGTCGGCGTTCAATTGCGATGGTGGGCACGGACCACACTTCTCTTCCCCCACACCAAAGCGACATGTACGTACCCACCCACCTAACCGCGCAAGTGACGACTGTCCAACTCCATCTTCCAGAGCTATCCCGCAAAGCTTTCGAATACCATCAGCAGCTGCGCTGTCAGGCCAAGGTGACGTTCAAGCTTCATCTTTCGACTCAGAGCTGTGAAACTGCTCGCGAAGCTTCAGAACACCACCACGATGCGCCTTCCGACGCTGCTTCTCGCAGCTTCATCTTTGGTCGGCGCAGTCTTCGTGGATGAAGTTGGAGATATCGACTATCACCACGAACTCATTGGCGTCCCCCAAGTAGAGACGACATTCTTCCACAAGCCGAGAAAAGACGATAAAGCCTCCCTCCTATACTCACTAAGCGATGTCGGCGTTGTCGGAGCCGTCAACCCCAGCAATGGCGCCGTCGTCTGGCGGCAGTACTTGACCGGCAACATCACGAATGGCGGCGGACATTTACGAGCGGCGGAAGGAGAGGATTGGGTCACGTCTGCGTACGGCAGCTCAGTGCATGCATGGAATGCCTTGTCGGGAAGGAACGCGTGGTGGAGCGAGTTCACGGGCGAGATAAGAGACTTGGAGGTCATGGAGTTGACGGAGAACGGGCGCAAGGATGTGCTGGCGCTCTTTGAGGAAGAGGACGGTTCTTCGACCTTGAGGAGACTCAACGGCGGCGACGGCAGCGTTGTCTGGGAATTCAAGGATGCGAGCAAGACTGTTCCGCTCCAGGTTTCGAACAACATCGAGAAGATCTTCGTGGTCAGCCTCTACGGATCCGTCAGCTCGTACGGCGTGCGCGTCTCTGTCCACGACACTCTGACGGGCAAGCGCACCGACGATATTAGCCTCGGAACCAAGGGCGATGTCCAGAGCAAGGAAGACGTCTTGCTTGTCGGCGCCAACTCGGCTTCTCCCATTGTCGCCTGGACTGACGCCGCCCACTCGAAGCTGAAGGTCAACGTTCTTGGTACCAAGACCAAGCAGGAGTTCCCGCTTCCTCCTGACACTTTGGAAGTTGCCATCCATGCGCCGCATCACCTGCAATCTGAGCCGCATTTCCTGGTCCACAGCCGCACCAAGGCTGGAAACAAGGGTGAGGTGTACCACGTCAACATCAAGAACAATGCTGTCACCAGAGATCATGAGCTCCCTCTCCTTCCTGGGCTAGGTGCTTTCTCTACCAGCTCAGAGGGCGCCAATGTCTGGTTTACGCGTATCACTGAAGAGGAGGTTATCTTGACGTCTTCTAGCTCGCACGCTATCCTGGGACGTTGGTCTTACAAGACCGGCACTGAGAGTGTCACTGCCATTCACGCCGTTTCAGAAGTCATCAAGAAGGGCGGAGACAGTTTCGCCGTCCGATGCGCTGCCGTCACTACTTCTGATGACTGGGTCTTGGTTCGTAACGGCGAGCAGGCCTGGAGCCGTCCTGAGGGGCTCACTGGCGGAGTCGCTGCTGCCTTTGCTGAGATTCCCGAGAGCGAAGACTTGGCTAAGACTCTTGAAGCTGAGGCGCACAGCAGTATCCTGTCCGCTTATATTCATCGTGTTACCCGCCACATTGATGATCTTGCCTACCTTCCCGACTACCTTGCTTCCATTCCCCAACGCCTCATCAGCAGCATTACCGGATCCGAGATCTCACCCAAGAGCGGTGGTCTTTCGCGCGATGCTTTCGGCTTCAACAAGCTCGTTGTTCTGGCCACCCGCAGAGGCAAGCTCTTCGGGCTTGACGTTGGCAAACACGGCAAGGTCATCTGGAAGCTCAACGCCTTCGATATTCCCCGCGGCAGTGCCTGGGACGTCAAGGGCATCTTTGTTGAGGATGCCAAATCGCACGTAACTGTCCGTGGATACCATGGCGAGTACGTGGTCGCACGAACCGATACTGGAAAACTCGTGGACGCTATGCCCGAGGGTTCCTGGGCTCAGACTCAAGCCGCTGCCATTGTCGACAGCCCGTCTGGTCAGTGGTTGGCCCCTGTTGGTATCGGTGGTGCCATCGGCGACGTCCCTGTCGCCTGGGCTCCCTCGCAGGTCGTCGTGGTGCGCGGCGAGAACGGTCAGCTGAAGGGTTTGACCTACATCAACGAAGACGTTACCGCCAAAGAGCAGGTTGCTTGGGAGTTTGCACCGCCCACTGGTTACGAGATCGTCGACATCGCTACTCTGCCTGTCCACGACCCTATTGCATCGATCGGAAGGGTCCTCGGTGACAGACGGGTCAAGTACAAGTATTTGAACCCCAACACCATCGTTGTGTCTGCCAAGAACAGCGCGAAGTCCACCCTGAACGTCTACCTCGTCGATTCCGTGTCAGGCCAGGTCCTTCACTCCTCTTCGTACGAGGGCGTCGACACTGACAAGAACATTGAGTGTACTCTTGCCGAGAACTGGTTCGTGTGCACCTTCTTCGGTGAATACTCGTTGAAGGACGATGCCGGTCAGCCTCAGTCTGGTCAGTCTCTCAAAGGCTACCAGATTGTTGTTTCCGACCTGTACGAGAGCGAATACCCCAACGACCGTGGCCCGCTCGGCGACGCTGCCAACTTTTCCTCTACCGACCCGGTCGACACTCCCACCGGTATCCCCCTTCCCTCGATTGTCAGCCAGGCCTGGATCCTGTCAGCCCCTATCACTTCTCTGGCTGTCACCCAGACTCGACAGGGTATCACCAGCCGTCATGTGCTCGGCTACCTCCCCCTGGCCCACTCCATCGTCAGTTTGCCTCGTCAGCTTCTCGAGCCGCGTCGCCCTGTCGGCCGTGACCCCACGCCGGCCGAGATGGAGGCCGAGGGCCTCATCAAGTACCACCCGGCGCTGGAGATCGATCCCAGACAGATCATCACTCATCAGCGCGATGTTATCGGCGTCCAGAAGATCATCACGTCCCCTACCATTGTGGAGAGCACCAGCTTGATCTTCTCCTTTGGCATTGACGTATTCGGCACCCGTGCCGCACCCAGTTTTGCCTTCGATATTCTTGGAAAGGGCTTCAACAAGATCAGCCTCATTTCCACTGTGCTTGCCCTGACTGTTGGTGTTGCAGTCCTGGGCCCGATCGTAAGTCATACGCTTCCTAGTTGTCATGTCTATTACTAACGATATCTTAGGTACGCAAGAAGCAGACAAACATGAGATGGGCATAGGAGTAAAAGTAGTGTATGATATGACATGACATAATAGAGTCTTACGAGTTTGAGCAAACAACCATGTGCAAGCCCGATCCATGCTGTGTGATTGTTCGCACTCGGGAACCGATGTAGATGGCCCATTGGCTGCTTTCGATAAACGGCCGGCCCCTTGTTTCCTCCCTTCTTCCAGGCGTTACTAAAGTTGAGTCGCGATCCGTCTGTAGCTTCGTCCTCTTCCAGGAAAGTGTCAAACACGAAGTAATCGTCAGGCAAATTGCCGAAGATGGGAACGCATTGTCCTAGGTTTACCGTCTGCATCGACAGAAAGCCTCCCGAGCATGTTCAGCGCCGTGCCGGTGAAGTATACGCTGCCAGTGGAAAGCTTCGTCGGGTTGGTCCCGGGAGATCCTGCTGCTGCTGAGCCAAGTTCTTGATGTAGGTCTGACTGACACTCGATGATCCCGGGCTTTGCTCAAGTCATAGTTATTATTCTAGAACTTTGTTCATGTCGTTTAAGGGCATCGTGGATCTTGGCTTCGAAGCTGGGTCGCGATGCTAAGTATACAAGATAGAAGGGCCACTCCATCAGTCAGGGCAGTCATCAACTCATCAGCCACCAGCACAGGATATGCTCCTGTCGAGAAGCCTATTATAGAGACTACGATCGCTGACATGTCATCGATTAGATGTGTGTACTTAGCCGTTCTCTCGTAAAGTTGGGACTTTCCTGAGGGAGTTGATCTTCATAACCGTGCTGAAGGAGGGGTGCGGAACCCTGAGGAAGACAGCTTACTTGGAGTGAGGTCATCACGAAAGCTGGACGATCTTGGAGGAGATCATCTTGCCCGGGATTTGGTCAACGTCATAATATCCTATAATAAACCGATTCACTTGGAGTACTTTTTTCTGTTATCTATGGAAGTATTCGATTCCTTCCAGTCATTGCCTCGGGCAAGTCAAGCTTCACACAACATCTGAGCAGGATATCATAAAGCCCTGATCAAAGAAGACCTCATGAATTGATCACTTTACATGTAGCCAGAACAAAAGCTATTCATGTCCCGAATATCTAACCGGTCTCAATATTTCATAGGAACTACGATCATCTACGTATTATCTAGCCAGCATTGCTGCGGGGATCATTTAACCTTGAATTTAGACTTCCCGCTGTCATTGAATCATGAGCCGGAGATCCACCACATGCACCCCGGATTGATCTCCTCGTTCATCCGAAGTTACCCTTCATCCCACCAGGCCGAGTTCCGGGCCACCGTCGACTGATCAGACCCCATGCTCTCTTCTCACCCGCCCACCTCAGAAGAAGGCACGTCCGTCCCTCGTGATATTCATCCACTTCCTCAGTCAGATCCTGTATCGTTTGTTACTCAAGTCTTGCACAATTTTCCGAGGAACACACGTCTCTGCAGCATTATCCACTGCTCTGCAGCAGGCAATTCAGCTGAGGCAGACATCTGTCCAAGTGTTGAAGCCCAACAGCAGTTGCATCAGGCTCCCGTTGGAATTTGGCTCACACCGCCAGTGACAACCCACCCGCATGCAGTATGTATGCGCTGTCTGTGAGGAGGTTGAAAGTGCAACTTTCCTCCAATATGCATCTCTATAGCCTTCCGAAACGATTGTGTCTACGAGACAATGGGAAGATGACTCCAGTCATTCTGTCTCAAGGCCCGACACATGATCTGATAAAGTGTTCTTTCCGGCTGCCTTACCAAACTGCAAGAACGAACTCATGCCTCTCATTGGATGTGTAGATACGAGATCCAGATTTGAAATATTCCTGGGTCGGGCTCCGGCGCAGCGTGGGGGTATGTTGTGTTGGGCGGATTCCGACGTTTTTCAACTTCACTCATGCAGTTTGCCCACTCGAATGATGTAGTAAGTTGTTCATAAAGAGTCAAGCTGCAAGGGCGTTCTAACCTAATCGACCCATGTCGATGACATAACGACAACACAGAAGAATGATGTGCTCTGATGTCAATGACGTTGGCAAACAGCACAACAGCAAGTCGTTGAGAGTGCCGGTCTCGACACCGGGAGCCAAACAAGAAACATCCATGACAATTTCACATGGGTGTTTGCTGAAGAATTCCCGCACAGACTTCGAGAAGGCAGGTAAGGTAGAACCAGCGGGGTTGGGAATGTTCGCTTCCAAGATTTGTAAGTTTGCCTAGTCTCGCTAATGACAGCGGTGAAGAGCCCTGAACCTGGCTTAGCTCTGGTCAGGGAAGAAAACCGATTGGAATTCTACACGATCGCTCATGTCCTCGTCCGGCAGTTGATTCTGCTGGGAGCGTATGGCAATGGAATTGATGTCTCTGGTTTACCCAACTGTTCTCGGCTCTCACCGCTTCCTAGACCAGCTCGCATCCCCGACCGGACCTCGTCGCCTCGGTGGGGGAGGTGCTCACCGACATATCGCCATATACTGCTAATCCTGCCATTCTCTAGGCGGAAAGAGTCACGAGCTTCTCAACAACGAAAGAATCCGTGAGGCGTCTTCAGCTGTAGTTGCCTTATCCTGACCGCCTTTCCAGAATACCACATGACATCTCAAGCCTCTTCCTCTGCATCCTGCTTACCGTGATCAGCTCCAGCTTACATATCCGGAACACCTCCTGGAACATAGGATTTAGATGCTACCGGAGGTTGACCGACCTCACCGGGAGGTCAGAAAGTTAGTAGGACGAGCTGAATATAATGTGCGACGATTAGAAGTAGGCATCTGATTCATCGTTCTAAATTGAGTGAACCGGGTATTGGCTTGCGTCAGGTTAGATTAAGAAACGCAAAGAATCCTGCTTCTGGAACTGTACACGAGACCACACGGACCTGGTGTTCGGGCGTTCCATCCCTGACATACGCTGTGTTATGCCTCGGGTCACTGAAGATCGAAAGGTATCGTATCACCACATCGTTTTCTTTATTGATAACCTGACGCTGCGTAACACATCGAATTACTCAACTTCGGGCCACTTCTGGGCGCAGCCGTAACACTGATATCCTCTGCTGCTATTAGCACCGATTCAGACAGATTGGACGTTGAAACACAAACTCCAGCATTCCCGGGATCTCGGTTTGCCTACTTCGGACACGTCGGCTTCGGGGTCGCGCGTGGTCGTCCTCGGATTCGAGCGATGAGTCCGCAGTGGGCCGTCATGAAGGATCGCGGCTGCCTGGAATCCGTCTCCGCATCAGACCCAAGTGTCTGAACTCACCGAACGCGAAGTCAAGAGTCTCGAAGCCCCTCATCGTGAACCCGGAACCTGCATGTTAACAAGTTGCCTTACCAGGCGGGGCAAGGCGGGAAAGGCGATGGATCTGCCTACGATCGTCAAGGTAGAACGGCGGCTAATCGATGGCACGAGACTCGTCGCCTTTCGGATCGCTATCACAATGTCATTGTGTCCCGGTGTCGCCTACTGCGCCGAGCACAACTAGATCTCGAGTGAGCTTTGATAAGTCTTGAAGTGAGGCTGTCGTGATGGGAGTATCCTGTAATTTCGGAATATCCGCAAGGGTGTTCCCTTCTCGACTTCACTCCCATCCCACATTACCTTCGCGGATCGCGCAATCCCCAATGTCTGCCGTAGGGCTCACTCACTTGCTGATGCGCCCGAGGCAATAGCCAGTCAGCATGGGGACTGCTTCTGGAAGACTACGCATATAAGTGGCCTCATTAGTAGATGATTAGTCGATATTTAGACCCTGACAGCGCAGTAGTGTGATGTCGCTAGTTATGCTGGACAAATAGGACTGGAACCGTAAGACCCACGGCGTCATCAACTGGCAACCGGGCATCCGGGGAAGCCTGGAAGGGCTTTCTCAGAGCGGCCTGCATTGGAGTGGTAAGGACCGGCACCGAATTCTTTGCAAAAGCAAACAGGCAGTGGTCCTAGATCTTAGCATCGATATTTCGATTTCGAAGCCGCTGAAAGCGCCAATGCGATAATGCATTCCGAGCCCAGCCCAATGCTCCGAGGTTTTGGTTGGGCATCCAGCATATTGAACCTGATGTGTGCTAAAGTAGGGCGGCTTCCCGCCTCTGTTAGACGTATCAAAACCCCATGACCAGATGCAGCTTACCCCATAACAGAAGGTCCTCGAATAACGTGTGAACACGACAATGCCAAAGGCACATCAGTAACGTACGCAAGCTAGGGCTAGATGAAAGCATGAAGAAGGCAACCGCGAGGCGAACTTGGAGAGCAGAATGTCTGGTGTGAAACAGCACCCGCAATTTGAGGCCCGTCCCGTCCCGCAGATCGTCGGAGCGAGACCTCCTGGCATATCGGAAGACGGGCAAGAGTTGGGTGACAGGCTTCGTAGAAAACAGGTGGCGTGCTTGCGCCTCAGAGCGGCGCTTTGTCGGATTGTATTGACGATAATCCGTTGCGTCAGGAAAAGAAAGGCGAAGCTTTCTTTTAACGTTCATTTGCGGAGGGACGATATCAGAAGGCCATGAAGTCCGTATCTTAGTGGTTTGCAGCAGTCGTGAAACGCCCTCGGTCAGAGTCTGGTCGCACATATTCGCGGCTGGACGATCTACCGGTGAAGCGTCGTGTAACCGCCCTACTCAAGTGTACTGATCGGCGGCTTGACCATCACCGGAACGATGCCCAGCGTCTTCATCCTCGAGGGCACTGCCAGCATGTCAGATCTGAAACGTCCAGGACCCGACTGTCTGGTGTTGCTCACGTTATGTAGCGAACAGTGATGCGGAACGTTCATGCAGCCGCCGGCTGGGCTCCGTATCCCGGGCCGTATTAGTGAAACATCGGTGGATGCAGCCGCCGATGCGTCTGCTGCTCCCATGCCCGGGTGGCGCTGCGGCTACCCGTGTCACCTAGCTGAAGAGATCTACCTGTGTAACCCCCGACTTAGAATTGAAAGCGGCAAGTTTTCTCTTTTGATTTTGCACTTTCAAGATCTGATGCCGGCAACATACATAGTTTTCTCCTCCAAGCAGCCGAATAATTGGCCACCACACCCGGTAG